AACTTAGAATCGAGCACTGCGACAGATGCTGCGTCACATCGTCCGCATCGATGGTTTGAAATCCGAATCGACCTTTGGCTTAGCTGTTACTTTGCCAGTATCCGCAGCAAGCGCCAGATGTAAACTCGTGTGAAGATTATAAATTAAATCATTCATAATAATTTTTTTTTTATTTATCAGAAAAAAATATTATTGCATCTCAAATATTGTGTCGACAAAGCTGAAAAAAACATTAATATTTTCTCATAATTAATTAATAATTAATATTTATTATTCATTAAACGGCAAATATTTTTGAAATATATTTTCATTTTTTTCTTTATTTAATCCATTGTTATTTTACGCCTTGTAAAACGAAATTTTTCAAATTAAAAAATAGCTTAGAAGTCGAAAAAATATAGATGGTTCTCGAAAATCCAATAAATCGTCTCGATCGAGTCGAGCCTTTGTAATATGTGCTCGAGAAATCGTTTCAGCAATGTTTTATAGTGATCGATACGAATAGCGGAGTGTAAAATTTTCCATAATCGGTAATTACGGATGTATAAGCACTTAAATCGACGTAAATGCCTGTTTATTCTTTCGTCATTGTGCGCTGCAGCGTTTAAAAATCATCTATATAATGACTCACCGCGGCGCTCGAACTTATTCGGTGGAAAGGAAACTGATCGCTTTCAGAGTGCATTTACGATATGGAAAATGTGTACCACGCGCTCTCCCATGTGTGTATGGACAAGAATAGGCGCACACACGTGTGTGCAACACATCGACAGGTGCTTAATCGATTCCGAGTACAATGGATCGACCTTTCTCTCCCTCTCCCTCTCTCTCTTTCTCTTTCTCTTTCGATATTCTATAAAGATATATATACTTAAACGCGTGCCCAAGTGTACATCATGCAACTCTGCTCTGAAATAATGATAAGCTTCCTCTCTCTTTCTCTCTCTCTCTCTCTCTCTCTCTCTCTCTGGCTCTGCTGAAGCTGGTCGCGCCAATGTTAATGCTCTCCCACGCGTTAAAGCTCGTGCACTCGCGAGCTGTGTAAGCGCGGACAGACGCGGGCGCGCGATGGCATACAATGCATGTGTAATGTGCGCCTCTGTGTAGGGCTCCGATCGAGCCGTGAAAATTTTATTATTCACGATTTGCCTACGTTTGCTGCCGCGTACGGGCGCGTTGTGAATTTCTCCGTGGCTCCGACGTGTGAAACGAGCACCCGATAAAAGGTTATACCTGAAAAGAGCGTCGACCTTTTCGATGATCATTATTTTCGATATTGCGAAAGAGGCCAACTATTCTTTTCTGTAAATGCTAGATGCGCTTCAGGTAATTTCGTATTAAAATTTGAAATTGAATGCACGCAACTAGTACCAGTAAAATCATACATACTCGTGATTCATGAGTTTTTTAGCAGTTGCGCATCTGGATTATTTTTTCAAGCTGACGGATCTGAAGCATACAACGCTTCCGCGCACTCACTCGATACACAAATCTCGAAGTCCACCTGCAGGCCAAATTTCTGCGATAATAATTAATCTCTCCTTTGCTCGGTCCATGATACAGGCAATGTATCATATACAGCGTGTGTCTGCATGTACACATAGGGCCTCGAGAGCATATTACCTATACGCTTCAACGCACAACTACTTGCACGCGCGCAAGAGCGAGAGAGAAGCTTACGTCACGTGGGAAGTCGACTCACTTGCGATGATGATGGTGAATTGGCAATTTAGTGGCGTTGGTGCAGTGCCGAGTCCCGATAGACGTGCTCGGGACGCTTTTTATATATTATTATTATACATACCCTAATATATCGATGTATGTTGCACATGCCAAAGATGTCCTCTTATTTGGCTTGTCTATTACATTGTTAACTTTTTTTTCATTATTTTTCAATGCTGAGAATAATAAAAGAGTCGAATGGCCGGCGGGCATCGAGCCCGATGAAAGTGTAGCGATCCGAAATCGAACTGATTTTTGGATGCCTCGTGGAATGAGCTCTTGTATAGCATACATTACATATATGTATTACATAGATACGGATTTTACGTAAAATGGATTTGGAGATTTTAAATTTTAGCTCGGGCGCATTATTGAGCGACTGATGTAATATAACATTTTATGAATGAAGTTTTCGCATATAAGATTGTGAAACTTTGATATTGTAACAAACTATATAATAGAGCCGGTGTATATTGATGGTTTTTAAACAAATATCTCATTGTACGTTATACGTTGTGAGTTTTATCGCATTCTTAATGTAATGCGGGAATTTCAAAAGACGCCTCGATTTTTTGCATAGGCACAGAAAAATCGGGTGCTCTACTTTTTTATTTGCTGAATATTGTGGATTATTAAAAAAAAATTTACCGTGCTCCAATGAGATGACTAAATGTATGCCACAACGATATCTTATTATTTAAGCACATTTAAAATGAGAACCAAAAATCTTCAATGTGCTTACGTGCGAACGAGCACAAAAGCCTCGAGTCTAGTGAGAGCACATAATTTTGAGAAACACACGTCAGAATGCTAAGTACGGTAGGTTACGAGCCGTGTAAGACAGTTTTTGAACAGGCGCGTATACACGCACCGCCGCGCGACACTAAACACCGGATATTGATAATGCGATGCTGATTTTTTATCTTGCGCCTTTCTCGCGTATGTAAACGAGCTGTGTATACGCTGTATATGTATGTAGTATACGCGCATTGCTAATCGCGTGACGTGGCGTGCGTGTGAGTTCCCTCGCGGTTCGCAAACAATTTTTCATAATACATATCTCAACGGGGCTGAAGAAGAAATAAACACGCGATAAATGCACCCATGCGAAATATTGCAAAATTATCCAAGACGTTTGAATTTTTTGGGTTGCTCCGAATCCGTGTATGCTTACGGTTTTTTTTTCTAAGCAATCGGAGAGCCGCACGATAGCTGAAAAGGGAGGTAAAAGAGACGATATGTCACTTTTCCCGCTTCTTCTCTTCGTTATGCTGCTGCGGCTATACATACGTTTCGACTTCCGGCCAATTGCGGTCAATTTACCATCATCTCTGATCTCCGCACATTGAATTTCACACAGGGTCCAGTGGATAGTGATAATGTGTGTAAGTGTGTATGTTTCAACGATCGTCGTGCACAAGACCGACGTGAAACGAGAAATCGGTCGGAACATTTCTCAGACTGATCGATAAATGCACAATCACAAAGATCTATCAGACATACTGTAAAAAACCTTAAATTTAATGCAAATTTGATGTAAAATTACAAGCATTAAAATAAAATTAATCAATATTAAAATTTATTCAAGGTGCATTCAAACGAAATCTTCTTTAAAAATTTCGGTATCAGTGCTAATTCCTTTTTTACACGTCGATCCAATTACATACATTGTTTTTAATGCAAAATAAATGAAAAGAGTTCTCTTTCATATTAAAATTTATTTTTTAATAGAGATATATTCCTTTGATTCGTTGTTCCAAGAATTTTGAATACAATCTTGATAGCCAGCCTCTACCGCTAGATGGCGAGTACCTTTATCTGAGAATCTGCAAGCGGCAAAGACAAAATAATTGTATAAGTCAAAGCTCGGTTACGACAAGACTAAATATTTTTATTGAATATGAAAAGTCACTTTCTGCACTTTTGTACAAATTTTGATGTAAATACTTTTAACAGCGCGATCCGGCCTGCACGCATCTGATCTCGCTCAAATTCTATGGACGTTCGTATATTTTTCCTTCGTTATTTGTACTTGTTCGTCGCAACTGGTATCGATTTAAAAGGGATATTTTTGCGTCCTCGTCCACAGTTGCATTCATACATGAGAGACGTGCGAATCGAACTCCAACACCGTAATGCCCGTCACGTATGTGTACGCGGCTGCACATTTGCAGTCGTTTCTCGCTCGTATTGTCTTCTCTCTTTCTCGGGCTTGTATACATGTGCTCGTTTCGCGCGCTTATTACTCTCTCTTTATCTTAGGCGACGCTCCAATATTTTACCATATACACACTCGTACGCGTGCGATCGTTCGGCATATCATAACGATTGTCTGGCCAATCGTTTTGTGTCATCTTTATTTACGCATGTACGTACGTGCAGTATATTACGTGCATCTGCGCGAACACCTGTCATTGAGAACTATGGACAGCTCGCTACTTGTCTTGCCGCGCACACCATTACGAACCGAGACACTATCGTAGCTCATCGATAATGATTAAATAAAAAAAAAAAAATGAAAACTAGACAGAAAATAGAAGAGGAAGACGATGATCAAAAATTGTGTGTACTAAACGTCGTTGTAGAATGAATGTTACAAAAAAAGAGGAAAAATTGTCTCGAATTTACACACACGTAAGACTCGATGATATTCGAGTGTTAATAATTGAAGTGTCGCGTGAGGCAAGTGAACTCTATAAATGAGCTCTTCTTCGATTTTTTACTATGCTCTTTTCTTGCTTTTTTAAATTTGACATGTTTCTCTGTCTCTTTCTCTCGCGTTCGCGTACAATTGAAATTCTAACATGCGTCGTACACACAAAGTATAGCAGACACATATACATACACACAAGAATTCACATCGAATCATAGTATATAAATATGGGCAAGCCGCGAGTGAAATGAAGAGAGAGGGGGGAGGGGAGGATAACTGTACTCTTGACACAATAATCTTCGCAATAAGAAAATTGTGTACAAGCACACACACGTGCTCTAACGAGTTTCATAACATTATTAAGTTATTACCCCCGAAACAATTGAAATTCTCTCGTACACTGTATAAAGCAACACGAGCACACATACGCACAACATACAAATTATCGTGTTTACATACTGCGAAAGACAGAAAGAGAAAGAGTATACCGAAGTATTAATAACAAAAATTACAGCTTGATTAGCCTTTCGTTATACCTTGCCCCACTTAAAATTTTGTGAACGCGGGAAAATTCTATAAACACAGCCGACCAAGTGCCCGTGATTTAGTACAGTTGTATGATTATCGTTCGACAGTTATTACTGATTCTCATATTTTTTCTCGGCTAGAATTTGCTAAAACTCGCGTGATTTCATATCAAAATTATAGTAGTGTTCTTTAATATTAAATTGTATAACTTCACTTGTTCTCCGAAATGTTATTCATAACATCGAATGGAAGAGTAGTAGAGAGCAGTGCTCATATACCAGAAGATACTGCTACGATTGAAGTTTTGAAAGAAGACATTGCTGCGAAATTAGAAGTTGAAAAAGGAAGGCTTATGCTTTCTGTTAAAAATGAGCTGCTGGAAGATGATAACAGAACTCTTCGATCTTATGGAGTTGAATCAAATGAAGAAATCAAGGTAAAATGATTGGTCGCTCATATGTTTCAATTATTTCATTTTTAGAGCATCTTGATTGTGATATTTAACATGTTAATTTTTTGGATGTGTAGGTATTGATTTCACCAGTCACAATACCAACTGATTACCTAGTTGGATCAATGTGGAGTTATAGAGAGCAGATGTTCGAAGTCGAAATCCACAAAGAACTTGTCAATTGGATATATGTAAATGTTGAGAGAAGGGTTGTTTCGATAATTCTCTCGAGAGAGAATGAGGAAATTGTCGATGAAGGAGACACAATAAAACTTACTTCAGACAATGAAATTTTAGCGAGAAACACTACTATTGGTTCTAATTTCAAAATTATTCGAAAATTGCGACTAAAAGCGGAGAAAAATCCATACCCTTTAGAATATACCTTCCGATATGATGGAAAATACAGAGTGTTCGGACATAACACTATATTAGGAATAAATGGACACCAAACATGGTGTTACTCTTTACGTCGAGATGAAGTGATACCGGTCATCGAAGCAGGGCCTCGTATTGAAGATACCTTTGGACCAATTGCTGGAATAGAAGTCGGTTATCTATGGTATTACAGAGTCCAAGCAAAAAGAGCTCGTGTGCATCGAGAACACATGAAAGGAATAGCAACGTTGGAGGGTAAAGCCACTGCTATAGCAATATCGGGTAAATATAAGGCCAATTCAGATAATATACACCTAATCGTATATACTGGTTCGAATAGTTCGTTTGAACTATCTGGAGAGAACCAATGCTTGGCAAGGAACTGCAATGAACATGAGGATAATAATGGCAAAATGAATAAAAATTGGAAAGAAAGCACTGACGGAGTCAGAGTGCTAAGAAAACTACAGATAGCTGAAGATAACCCGTACTCTCGACTTTTTTGTTTTCGGTACGATGGTATTTATAAAGTGGTTGGTTATTGGATTGAAACACAATGGCGATTTTTATTAGCTCGGCATGATGATTCTCCATTAATTCGTCCTGAAAACTTTGCTGAAACAACAGAAAAAAAGGATACGAACGAAATCAAAGAATACTTTGATGAAATTGAGGTCGGAGCTGAATGGAGCACCAGAGAAGAAATGGCTCACGCCAAGGTTCATACAAATCTTGAAGCTAATATAAGTAAAAACTCAGAAGGATATGCTACTTCGCTTCTTTTGTCGAACAAAATTCAAATGAATTTGATTATTAAACAAAATTACATCATTTACACCGGATCAAATGAAAACGACTTGGACAAGGCTTTAGCTAAAAATTGCTTTTGTGCGTTTGATCAACGGCTTCAGAAAAATGGAAATGTTGCAGAAGAGTGCGAAAAAGGCTTTCCCGTCCGAGTTTTTAGATACTGGTGGAAGACAGTCTACAATGAATCTGATGCGAATCAAATAGCTAGAGAAGTATACCGATACGAAGGTACTTATCACGTAATCGCGTACTGGCCGGAGACCAGAGTAGAAAATAAATCATCAGAGAAAACCAGAGTAGAAAATAAATCATCAGAGAAAACCAGAGTATGGCGATACGTACTGGTGAAAAAAGATGCTGAAGAAAACAATCAAGATACTGCTAAAAATGCAGTAAAGAAAACAAATAAAAATGATGAGGTATGTACAATAAAAAATCGCAAAGCTAACTTTAAATCAAAGTAATAATTGAAAGACATAAGTGACCCACATACTTTCTGTGTTGTTCTCTCTTTCATCCGCGCGGTTTTCCTATCTTCGCTATATTCTTTCTCTCTTTTTCTGCGTGCAGGTACATAATTACGAGCTTGCATGCTCTTAACCTTTAGTCAGATATTTAAAATTTAAGCTCATGGACTTACTGCATGTAAGGTCCGCCTAATCTGGAGATAGAGGAATAATTTATAATCAATATTTATAGAATTTATAAGTAATGCCCACTCGTGATACGGGTATTATTATTATACACGTCGATGAAAATCATCATCTGCATCAACGAGTCGAATCTTCGGCAATCATTCACGAGACGCGTGCAGAAAAATCCGCTGAGTGCACTTTCTTTGATTATACAGCAGTATAATCGCGCATATAACGAAGTTTCGGCATCATAAACTCGCGAGAGAGGTATAATATTATAAGCTTTGTTCATGAAAATATGTGTTAGAAATGTACCTCTGAGTGACTGAGAAACGAGCGTAAAAGAGACAGAGAGAGAGAGAGAACGCGTATGGCGTTCATGCATCGAATGATGATCACGACGGCGACGGCAACGGTCAATATGATCGCGTGAGCTCGCCGAGGATCATACGATCATTTTAATTATGATTTGATGATGAGCAATTCACCCCTGAATTTTATCCAATTTATATACCTCGATCGTATAAGAATCGATATGTAATAATAATAACGATGCATTGATCATTCTTAATTTGTTTCACTAATTATATCATATATTAATCGCAACTTTGTTTTCTCATTGTTACAGATTTATCTCGATCCCATGGATGATGATCAGACCCTTGGCTACATTTTAGATCTTTCTTCAAGTAGTAGAAACAAATTATAATTTCTTGTTAATGAAAAAAAAAGGTTTATCAAAATTATTTTTTAAAATTATATTTAAAATTTTTTAAAATTATATCAAAAAAGTAACAATTTACTATATGTTACCCAGATCTTAATGGGTTTTTAAAAAAATGTAAAATTATTTGCAATTCAAAATCATTTAAATTTGTTAGTAAACGTTTTTTACAGATTTTTATTAATATTGAACTTTATATTAATATTTAATCAATAGATAATATAACGTAATAACAGTATTTTTATTTTAAATAATGAGTCTTACGTCCATTTTTTTTTCACCTACCTAAAGCATTAATCTCTCAACAGTTGTCAAATTTCTCGATGCTCTCAGTGCAGCCCGCTAAAACTCTCGGTCAGATTCGTTCGTGCGCTTCCATTTTGACCATCATTACGTACACAAAGCAATACACGTCTATACATCTTGGTTGATCGTAGTGTAATTAAGTCTGCAGATCGAACGTCAGTGAGGAGGAGAGGATATATATATATATATATATATATATGGTAAGCGTGTGCATAAGAGTGCATGACAAGCTCTTAATTTTACGCGAAGAAAAGTAATTTTCCCTCGCCCACGCGCGTAGAAGAAAATATTTTGAATTCAATTTATTCATTTAATTTGATGATAAACGGACCGAGAGAAAATGAATTTTCTTTCGTGTTAGCTATTTGTTTTTTTACCGCGAACGAAGGATTATTTTGTGAATATATTATACGGATGCAAGCGCGGGTTATAAACGAGGCGTCACAAAATTAACGGATGAGAATGTAAATGTGTATGTGTGTGTGCTGCTCAATAATCTTTGTATACTTAAAAACAATGAAATTAGTTAAGAAAGTCTGAGTTTATAAGCGGTCACGAGCATCTCCTTCATTCCACGACTAACTTTTATTAATGAATTGGCCGACTGTGTTAAACAAACATTATACTCAATTCATACATCGAGCGATTGCATATCCACTCGGCGATGCCGATAGCATCGTTGCCTATAGAAGGTTGTATATTCCATTAATCACTTCTCAATTTTTCTTTTTACGACGCTATATAATTAATTCATATATATTCCGACAAATTCGATAAATTTCGCGCATGATTTTCAACGCTCGCGCGTAGATATTTGTAAATATTAAAGAAGCTAACGAGAGAAAGAGAGAGAGAGACAATAACGGAAGAGATCGTATGTGTGTTTGTGTACGTGTATGTACACATACGTATCGGAGCTCGAGGGAGCTATGAAATAAACCGCACGAAGACTCAGGCGTACTCTGTACTGTACCGTTAGAGGACCTTCACGTTTTAACCGCGACGACGCTGCTGCTGCTGCTGCTACTGGTCGCTTGCTATCGGTGATCGCGAGCACAGTACATTGAAAATAGCAGTAGTATAAGGAGAAAACTCAACGTTTCCGTGTATATATTGCACAAGCGTGCGTAGAAACATACCTATATACACGCATACGTATACGGTCAAGTCTCGATGCAGGTATACCATACGAAGAGGAGGAGAAACAGAGAGAAGGGTCTTTCTCTCTCGTTCGAGAGTCGTATAATACAATCTTGGATTTCTTTTAGTTTTTTCTTCGTCCGTTTATGAGCGACCTTGAAAATCGAGAGCTCGCGATAGACTATCAACGCCAGCGCTGTTGCCCCCTTTTCCCCGCGGGCTTTTAAAATTTTTTTTCGGACACGGCAGAAATCGCGAAGGTTGCGAAAATGTATAATACGCAACGAGCTGGCGAGATATCTCGCCAGGGGACTGCGCGCCTGGACGATGCGGTAGCGACTCCGCGTCCGAAGGTCGGCCTTCGCGCGTACACTCCCCACGAAAGGGCTATATTAGCGATACGTAGGCACGCGTGATTCGCTCTTCTTTGTTCAATGGAGTTGAGCGTAGCAGTCGGCAGCTGAGCACACCTGCAGCGTTGGGCAGAGAGAAATTACGCCCAGTTATGCACAGCTCGTCGGTCTCCATGGCATTACGAAAACATTATCATTATATCGTCGTCGTCGTCGTAGTTGGACACGACTCGCATGCACATACGTATTATGTACTTTACTCTCTCGGCAAAACACCCATCCTGCCGGCTCGAAAAAATTCCAATGGTCAATCTCTCGAATAATTAAAGAGCCTCCGCTTGCGCGTCAGTTTCAAGTATATATATATATAGATAGTACTTGGCTTGGGCCTGTGTGGGTTCGTTGAACTTTTGCGCGCGCGTGGAGTCGTCGACGACGACGACGACGACGACGACGACGACGACTACGACGATTTTCAACATTAGCATTTAAGCCCAGTGCGGAAAGAGACTCGAGTTCTCGAGTGAGCGAGAGAGAAAACGGAGTGGAGATAACCAAATAAAAATGCAATCGTTTCAAAAGAACGTTATAATAGGCTAACAAAACGGCTCTCTCTCTCTCTCGCTCTTTTACTCTTGGCTATATGATACAGAAGAGAGTAAAAAAGAATACACGTAACGTTCCTCGCTAAGCTTATGTATACTCTCTGCGGCCGAGTGTATACAGCAGAGGGATAGGGTACACATACAAGGAAGAAAAGATGAAAGCCACGAGATGCAGAAGAGGAGTAGAACGAGAGAGAGAGAGAAAGAGAGACAAAGAGGTGGGAGAGAGAGAGAGAAGCCGATCGCGCTGCGCTCGCTCGCTCGGCTCTCGGGCTCTATACTCGTCGTCGTGGAGTTTAGTCGGGTTTCAGACGCGCGGATCGCGCCGAGCCTGTGTACTACTATATACGCAGAGTATATTTTATATACCGTATAACAACAGTCGCGTCGTTTCACTATCCACTGTGTGCCAAGCCAAGCGAGGATCGCCTTTTTTTTACATTTTCAATAAACCAACGTTTGGTTCGTGTGTTGTTTACAGTTGTTGTTGTTGTTGTTGTTGTTGCTGTGTGCTGTTTCATTTTTTTGTTGTTGATGTTTAGTTCTGCTGTGATTTCGTTCGGCTTCAGTGCTCAAGTGTGAAGTTTTTATATTCGTTCGAATTTATTACAAAAATTTAAGTGTCCAGGCGGCGGTTGCAGCGAAGCGACGATCGCTTGCTTGCTTGAGCGCAGATCTCTGTTTACGCGCGATTCCTTCCTTCCTCTGCTTTGCAGCAGCAGCAGCAGCAGCAGTCGAGAGAATCGTTAAATCGTCCATAGTGATTGGTCCTTAAAAGGTTCGTGCTTCATTATTATTTTTAACTCGAGAATTACGAACAAAATCTTTCTTTAATTTTTTATCCCTTCGTTTTTCGTGCAATTTTTTTTTTAATCGCAGGTGTCCGTTATATACATACAGGCTATAAAAGCTCCGGTCAATCTTGACTATATATAGCTTTTTATATATGGCGCGCGGATCAATGTAAACGTACGTTTAATAGATCTTAATCAGTCGTTTAACGTATACACAGACACACGTCAAACCTACACACTGTATACGTAAACGCGCATACGTAACGTGTGTGCGTTTTATTATTATTTTTTTCTCTGCTGTCCCTCCCTCTCAAGGTCCCGCATGGAATTACGCTCGATAATCCAGGCATTGATGCACAAGTTGTATCGCGCGGCAAGTGTATATCAAGTGGAATCGTCGCATTTTTCGTTGTTGCCGTTGCATCGAAGCGAATGTAATTTCGTCCTAATTCGATGGAAATTGCATTATTTACAATCTAGTGATCTAGAAACTCGCGCAGTTTGAGCATATCGATATAATTTATCGGGTACACATAATGGTCGAACGAGGTAAAACATTTAAAATATTTGAAAAATCGCCGCGCTCGGCAACTTTCTACTTCTGAAATTGCTGAAAAAAAGGAAGAAAAAATGCCATCAACACACAAACACACACACATCAGACATTGACTCCTATAAATTAATCAAGTAAGCATTTTTTTTCGCTCTACATGAAAGCCGCGTTCGCAGCCTTAATTTTTGCCACGATAATGATCGTATATATGTTATTCTCGCTCGCCATGTACATACATGCAGCGGAGAGGCTCATTGCCTCGTATACTCGTGATTATCTACTTGACGAATTATGTTTTATAATACAGCGTATACGTATGTGTATAGAACTGAAAAAAAAAAAAATAATTGTAATTTACAGACGGCATGTCGCATTCAATTACGATGTTTATCATAATTTTGGGCAATGTGCATTATACGTATGATACGCAGCTCGCGTTGATTCCAATTAAAATCATGAATTAATTTCAGCACGTAATTGATCGGCACAACGAGATAGATCGGAATTAAAAACGCTGCACCGGAACTCGATTATCAAAGTCATTCTTATATATTTTTGCCGGCCCCCGGGGCTTTCACTTCGCGCAGCAAGTGCACGCAGAACCACCGGACTAATCGAGATGCTATTTATTTATGCGCTCATTCGTATGTATAAATTATTTCTCGCGAGTTCGCAGCTTCGGGTTATAAATTACGTAAAATTGTATCTAGCTCGCGGCCTGCGGACTTTCCTCGCGCTGTAAAATTTTCTCTTACATACGAATGCCGAATCGTTGGGTCGCCGCGCCGATGCGATGTGGTCGCGAAGTTGGAGATCCATTTCCGCTCGCGAGGAAGTCATTGCGAATAAGAGGCAGCGTTCGATTCCACCGAATGATAATATATTTCAAGCGTCGCCTATATATATGCGGCTGATTTTCAAAAAGCCGATTCTCGAGGATTCATCTCTCTCCCTCTTGGGATATTCCAGCGAGGATTTAATTTTAGAGATTTCATCGGCGCACGTATAATGGCGTTCGAGCGGCTCTCCACCAGACCGTGCCGATATTAAATTGCAAATTTTATTTTTCTTCTTTCAGAGCGCACCGATTCGAGTGAGCACTAGAGGGATACGCAGCCTCGCTACGTTTTATAATATAGCAGCAGCAGCAGCGGAGGTGAAACGAGCAACGACGACATAACATAACCATGGGTCGCACCGGCTATACGTGCATTAGGCATGTGTTCTGCTCGCTCAACGTCCTCATTTGGGTATGTCTATGATATGCGTAAATTTTATGTACCGCTTATATAGTTTTGCTCCACATGTCTGTGAGCCGATTGAACATTTTTTAATGAAAGTGGCTGTCGCGAGCGATCAAACGTTTTATAACCAATAATGGTCGCGTATTATATATCTGCTGCGCAACATGAAAATATAAAGCCGATTTTTCGACGATAAATCCGCTTTGATATATCGCATATATTCGATCGAGTTTTATTCTCGAATAATATTTCAGAATTTCTTGATTGTATACATTTCGCTGATAAAAAATCTTTAAATGTAATACAGATTTAGTGTCAATAATCAAACATCAAAGATAAAATAACCGATACGGAATTTCATTTGAGGTACTTTTACGTGAAAACTTCGTTCAAACACATCAGTGCTGATTTTTGCCATTACATTAACAGCACAAAAAATGCATGACAATGCAGTCACAAGAATTTAATTCTATTGCTGTTAATTGAACATTAATGTTTTCATGCTAATTTAGTTTTCGCGCTAATTTGCCAATAAATATATCAAAATTCAATCACGATTGATACCAACCTTCACCGCTAGATGGCGAGTACTTTTGTATTTAAAAACCTGCAAGTGGAAAAGTGAAAATACGTACATAAGTCAAAAACAAACTGATTTATGTATACATTGGATATATATTGGTATATATTGGAAGTAACTATATGAAAAATAATGAAAAATTCTTTAAATTTTAAATCTCAATAATTCAAATGCTTTCACATGAATTTCAATTCATTTTCGCGAAAGAAAAGAAAATTCCCTTCGCTGTTACATTAATTTTCATGTAAATATTTTTAACAGTGATACCGAGTAGGGATATCGCGTGACTCGACTGGCGATCTTGTGAATTTGAATCCTCGAGGTCGAACTAATTACAGCAAAAGTCAGCTATGCCTAATACACATTGCATCGAATGATATCGGTACATATAGGTAAATACCTACTAATGTACCTTTACACTGTGTATACTCTTGAATTCACGCTCCACGGAACGAGCGAAAATGAAGGAGCGAAAGAGATCGAGCGAGAGAGAGAGAGAGAGAGAGAGAGAGAGAGAGAGAGAGAGAGAGAGAGAGAGAAAGAGAGAGAGTAAAAAAAAGGGGGCAGTAATTTTTCTACCTCTCTCTCTCTCTCTCTCTCGTTCTCGAACAGCAGCAGCATCAGAGTTAACGAAGCCCCCGCGTCGACTCACGACTTTGAATGTATATCCCCGATGTAAATTACACGTGCTATATAGAATCTCTTTCGTTCCGAATAGCGAATCTCTCTCTCTTCTTTTCGCCGAGGTTTATAATGATGCCGACGCTGCTGCGGACCGGCGATGAGCGAGCGATCGAAGAAAGTAACGTAATATGCACATTTTCGACGCGCGGCGGAGTGAAAATTGTTGATGGTGTGCAATTATTCATACCCCAGGCCAATGTGTGTGTATGTATGTGCGGCAGCTCAGAAGCACATTATATGCACAAGACGTGTATTAGAGAAAACATTAGCTTTTATCTGTCCCGTCGATTCGAGCTTTTCCATATTATAAATCGTGTTGTGCACCATGTGCACGGCTGCTGCTGCTGCTGCTGCTGCCACGTTCCTGACGTCGGAATTAACGAATGCAGGCGCGCGGTGGCGTCTATGCATATACAGGCAGGATTTTCACCACGTAGACACGTGTTTATTATAAACATGTTACAACGTACAGTGCATACATATAAAAAGGACTCGTACGACGTGTACTCAACGGCGACGAAGAAAAAAAAATAAGTATCGGCGCGGCAAATTTTCTCTCTCTGTCTCTCTCCGCAAGTCTCCAATTAAACGAGAGCTTTTGAAATCCACGGGTAAAAGTGCACAAACGGGCGGTCACACATTCGACGCCGTCGATCGCGTCGTGCGGCAAGCAATAGATCGAACAATAAGTCGATAAATTGCCGCATTTCCATGTGTGCACCGTACGCGCGCCGTGTCGGTGTATTTTTGCGTTATTTATAGTGAAAAAAAAGGGTCACTCTTTTGTATCCGCGCGCGCACACACACATACAGACACATTATCGTGTCCCGAGTTTATACTTTCACATGAAAGTTCGATACATCGCACCGTTCGTCGAGCTCCTATAATATACTATACGGATGCTGCGCGCGCTCATTATCATTATATATCGAGTGTATATACCTTTTTTTTGTTGTTGTTGTTGTGTATATCTACGTATTGTGCGCGCTGTGTGTGTATATATAATGCTCGAGGGACTCAGACTACTTACGGCCTGTATAACAAGGCCTAGAAAAAGCATTGCGCATTCATTTATAATATATACCATTTCAGAAGATGTTCCGGCCGCGCGAGTATACACTACGTGAACTTTCGCAAAACTGCGCGCAGCTCGACGAGAATTGCATTACATTTGTTGCCTCGTTCGCTCATCATCTTCATTTATTTATTTTTTCATTGTGCTCGCTCGGTTTCTTTCCTTTTGGTTCGTTTCCAGTGATACGCGTTAGATTTTCGCGTTCGTCCGATTATTGTTGGCAATTTAGTACATCGCAGTGTACTTTCTAGCGTTGCGCTCACGCAGTGTGGCATAAGTTTTAAAGGTTTATATAGATAAATACGAGCGTGTGTGCGTTACACGCGCTCGAGAGCCCGATTACGATTAGACAATCATAACTGAAATTAGAGCGTGTCCGAAGCGGGTCATTGTTTTATTTTATTTTTTTTTTCCTTACAATAATACTTCGTGCTTCCTTCGTTATATCTTCTTATCGTTGATCTTCGGCTTTGTATTATATGTCGAATTAAATATAGGTTCAGGAAGAAGAAGAAAAATTATCCGTTCGCATGTGTGTGTGAGTGTGTGCGCGCGCGACTAGACGAGCGAGAAAGAGATATGTAACCGCGTACCAGATGAGTCGAGATAAAAACTGCTCCGCACATCGGTGCATAGTGCAGCTCGTGCGCGCGAGGAGGCACGCGGTAATAGCGCGCAGACATATATAGAACGAGTCGAGGTGCACTCGCACACATGCACACACAGAAGCAGCTTTATGTATGTACATCTATGTGTGTGTACGAAGGCGCGCCTTTGCAATCGGGTCAACATTATAAACATGCAGTCGTGACACTTGATGCTTTTTGTGTGTCTGTGAGAGAGCTTGTCTGTCTCTCGGTGCATATACGTACCTACACACTTGCATGGGTGAGTATATCCGTGTGCGCATATAGGTATTATTATTACTCGAGTAGGATGTACAACGCGGCCGGGCCTATGCAGCAGCAGCACAGACTCGAGGTTCGGTATATGGAACTTGAGTTGAGCTTTGTATTATATGCGTGCAGTATAACGCGTTTCGACTCCGGTAATGAGAATTGAAGGTCTCTCGGCTCTCTCGACGTTGTCGCTCGTATGTGTGGGCGCTCGACGTATACGTGTACAGGATTTTTCGACGGTAATTATATATTTCCAGGTTCTCAGGTGCATGCGCGCGCGCGCGCGAATTAAGAAGGTCGATATTCGTTTTCCTATACGTCGGATTGGGTGTTGTTTTATTTCTTTCATTTTTTCGTCTCAACTGTCTCAACTTCCATGCAGGTATTATTTACGAATCAGTATCGCGCACTATATATATATTATGTAGCAGAGCAGTGGTTAACAGCGTCGACGTAATTTTTCGCCATGGATTCCGATCGTAGCGGCCCGGCAAACAAAAAACAAAACAAAGGGGGCGAAGAAGAAATGCAACACTCGTCGTACCTCACCGCAGAGAGTCATTACATAGTATTCGCGAAGTAGTAACGCGAATGTTCTAACACCTGCGCGCGAGAATCCGAGAGATCTTTCGAGCTGCGCTGCTGACTCGTGCCGAACGTTCAGCACTCGTTCGCGAAGGTATATTATATATAGAGAGAGGAGCCACAAACCTATTATAAAGCCCAGCTCGCTCGCCTTGTACGGGCTTCAAATGTATGTTGTGCGCCCGTGTATAGTGCACGTTACCCCTCGCGAGAGAGAGAGAGAGAGAGAGACTTTCCTCGCTGCGCGATGAGTAGACGATAATGTACCTGCATTTGAATGCTGATTATGTATACATATGCACGTGCAGGTATGTGTGTGTATACAATGTGAGAAGACTGCAAGATGTACTTAAACGTATGTACGTATAAATGTATATTGGCAGCATCCTCGCGCGAGGAAATGGAGCTGCCACGCGGTAATTGCCGAGGGAAAGTATTGTGTGATTGACCGAACCTTCGATGCCAGACAGGGTACGAATGTAATATCGTTCGAAGGAAACCACTTCTGGCCTAAAAAATATTAATCCTACTATATATTCGAAAAATTAATACATGACCGAAATTAACGCTCAAAATGAAAATGGTTATATTATACCCAGCGAAAAATTCTTTTCTACGTGTGAGTTGACAATACTCCATCTGTTGATGAAATGAAAAATCACACAATCAAATATGACACCTTTACTACATAATATTATAGAAAGGAATGAGCGATGAGTAGCAGTCGTACGTGCGACTAAATTAATGCTGATTTTAAACTTCTCTAGATCTTATGAATCTTAAAATATTCTTACAGTTATAGTACTTAAGAAGTAAGTATGGAAGTATGAAAATTCTTAATACTCTCTGGATATTATTCTTCGCTATTCTCTTATTTATATTTCGACCGTCTGACGCAAGGTGGCGAGAGTCAAAAAAATTGTAAACACACGATCAAAACAGATGAGTTGGGTAGATATTAAGCTACTGGGTTTTGAATGATTCAAGTCCGCATTTATTGCAGGCGTGTGTTCTTCCAATCTATTTTCATCCTGGACTATACAAAATAGAGTCCTGTGAACCTTCTTGTTTTATGGTATAATGAGGCAAACGGAAAAATGCAATAGTTCTCTTGAATACTTTGACGGGTTTTCCCTCGGCCCATTTTTCGGCTACGATTCCAAGTTTTCGACTTATCAGTGTACTACAATTATTGGCTAAAATTTTGTACTGTATCTTAAACAGTTCTCTTAGAAGTTTACGATACAAATTAGAACTCAAAGTTAATGAGATCACTTTAGGTATTCTATAGATCGTCGTGTAAGCATACCTGTTATACATACATACACAAATCGTTAAGAATTCATACATCAATACACATTAATACACATTAATACATATTAAACAACAATTATAATATATTTTTTACAATGAATTTTTAAAAGCTTAGTTAAAATTTTGTAGGAATAGGATTTAAAATCTCAAATTCGTTTTGTATTGTAACAATATTGTAATTAAAAGTGTGACGTTTGGTTACGAGCTTTTTGATTCCATCAACAGAGGTAGTATTGTAAACTCGCAAGTGGCAAACGAATTTTCGTAGGATATATATAAAAAAGTCACGCTTTTATAACACATAAAACTTTGTTGCCCGATCAAAAGCGAAATAGAGAAAAAGAGAGAAAAAATATCCCAATTTCACGGGAGAATTATCAGGAATGTAACACAGCTGCATCGGTATAAAAGAAATAACGACTCATTACGTCACAACGAAAAAAGAAACATCGGCCATTCGATGAACGGTGAAATCGTCTTTCTTTTACGACTTTACTCACGCGCGAAATATTATGAAAATCGTTTCATCACGTCGATGCTGAACCGTGCCTGGAAAAATTGCTACGATAAGTAATACCGATCCGTAGCCCTCCTCGCAAAAGTTGGGACAAAAATGAAGATCAATTGGCCGCGCGCGCACCAACGCTAATTGTCAGCGAGCGCTAATTTCTCTCTCTCTCTCTCTCTCCAAACTTCGATTGCATAAAGCTCATTAACGAGGAAGACACCTCGAGGGACGTGAGGTTCTCTCTCTCTCTCTCGTGCGGGTGTGTAACGTATAATAAGCCGTGAGCAGTGCGGCACATACCCACGCGAACGCGTATGCAGACGAACGTATAATACGTACTTTTGTGCACGCCATTGAAATTTCTATTCCTCGGAGCAATATCCCACAGAGCCTCTCAGCGGAGACTTTTGGCGCTCACGGCAGAAAATAAACGCAATTATCTCAAGAGCGAGCTAACGTTATTATTATATTCCCCAATCGCGCGGATGGCAGCAATCGGCGCAACATATATGCATCGCGCGTTGTCCTCTCCTCCGCGCGCGCGATAATTTTCGAGGAAAATATTAATCACACGCGCGCGCATTTACACACACGCGAAAGGCCTATATTTTCAAAACGCGAAAGTGCAAAATGATAAATCGATCAACTTTCAAATGCTACGCGCTCGCTTGGCTAAGGTAACTCCAACGGTCTCTAAGTGTTGCTGTACAAATCCTCATTATGTCACATCCACATCCGCTCGCGCCGCAAGTTTCACCTTCTAAACCAGATGTGTGTGTGCGCGCTATGTTCCTATAGGCTATACGCTCGATGCACACGGCGTCTCTTTAAACGCTGCAGTATGTGTGTGTATGTGCGTCTATGCAAGTCGCTTATCTGGTTACAAAAGCCACGACTCGTTTGGATTTTCAACTTTTGCTCGGCTCGCGCGACGCATAGGCATATACATATATTCCGTATATAGATCCGCTGCATTATGTACGCGCTCAGCCTGTGTGTTACAACGCAGCGCATGGTAATAAAAGTAGTCGTAGTACATGTCACTCCTGTTTGCTCCGAAGGCTGTTATTATTTATAAAAGTATATCAGTCCTGTGTAGGAGCAACGTCGCGTTGTACGAAACACACGGCGTTCAAAGTTCCCGCCCGCATTTTATTCGTTATTTTTTTTTCGGTGCACACCGAAATCACGACTTTGTCGTGCAGCGTTTTAATAGACACCCAAAAGCTCCCCCGTATATATGGGTACACTTTCTGCTCCGCTAATACTGTTGTTGTTTGTTGCGAGATGTTAATTGAATGCACGGAGGAACGCTCGAAATACGCCCGGCAGGTATATTATATATACACGAGAGCGAGCGAGAGTAAGAATTCGAACGTTTATTAGCTTTTGCGCGGAGTCTTGAGAAATAAATTGGCGCCGCGCATCTGGGGCAAGATATATGCGCGCTGGCGAATACTGTTAATTATACACAAATCACGGGATGGATGAATTATATTTTAACAATATATATAATAATACCCGTGTATAACAGCCACCTGTTGAGTAAATATCTTCTGAATTACGAGCCTGGTGTATACGTACGTATCGCTGTACCATCCGTATCAAATGTTAAAAGCTTACGTAAAGTCATTATAGTTACATAAATATTATATGTTTTTGTGCGGAGCAGAGCATAAGGGCGCCTGCGAAAAGACGGTAAATTTGCATGTTGCAAGCTTTGCATTATTACCAATAACGTATCGAAATTCAAGCGGCACCGAATCGCACTTAAAATATAATACGTTATGTTCACCTCTCGCGCTGCGCCGCGCCGACTGTATAGAAAGTAAACCTGCGCATAAGTGCCTCTCTCTCTCGCCCGTGTATATATACCTACATAAACTGTGCGGCGCTGCTTCGAGCATCCGAACTTTAACAACGAAATGATATATTTTCACTGCTCGTAGCGGCTCGCTCGGCGCTTTGGAAAATTCGGAAGAAAAAAAAACGTAACGCGTATAGACGCATGAGGAGACTTTCTATGCGCTGCGAGCTCAGCTGGCATGGAAAATTATGTTATAAAGACACATCGGACACGGATCGGTATCCGGTGAAATGATAGAGGCTCGCGAACGCGAATGAACCTATCGTTTTGATGTAATGAACGCGTATGAGCTGCGATTTGAGCTCACGTGGAGTGCGTAAAGAGCACCCATCGACACTTTCTTTTCTCTTCGCACAGTTATGTATGTGATGCGCGTGGTTGGAAAATGATAAACGATCTAAGTCCTATAGGGGGTCATCCCACATCCCGAGTCACGACGCGGTGACAGCTTTTGAATGCTGAATGTGTATAATGCGGCCTGGAGAACACAAGATGAATGGACACTTACTTTTGTGTGTCGCGTACGTATGTGTTATACCTTCGCGTTGGGTGCCGTATTTACCGCGTGAAAGTCGATGGATGGCTTTTTTCTTTCTTTCTTTTTTCACCCTAATTGTCCCAATAAGATCGCGAGAAAAGTTATTATTATGGCATCGATGCAGCGTAGAGTGACATTGACAAACTCGAGCGGAGAACGGATGTCGATGAATTTTCGCCGTCCTCGATCTCCTTCTGCACAAGGCGTAATTGACGTTAATTCATTTTTTTCTGTATTAATTTTTGCCTCTTTTTCTGGCTCGCAGTTGTGCGCTTGCGGCATGCTCGGCGCCGGCCTCTGGATGCGATTGAACTATCCGTACGAGCACGGCTACGGCACCCTCGTGCCACAGTACCCGTACGCCTCGTCGGACATCGTCGTGCTGGCCATCGGCTGTCTCACGTTCCTCGTCGCCTTCTTCGGCTGCTGCGGCGCCTGGTTCCAGTCCCGATGTCTCCTGATCACGGTTTGTTTGCTTTTTGCTTTGCTTCAGCGAAGTATAATAATGGTCAAAAAAATTCTTTTTCACTTTTCATTTTCTTTTCTTTTCTTTTTGTTTTTTTGGTTCGTCGACACAGTACTTCAGTCTCGTCATACTGGTATTCTTGGCGGAATTCATGCTCGGCTCGCTGGCCTTCATCTTCAAGGATCAAGTGGGCATCACGATGAAGGAGCAGCTCTACAACGGCATTCAAGAGCACTACAGCGACGAAAACGTCCACGAGAGCGGCACTTTCGCTAATTTCTGGGATTACATACAATCGACCGTAAGCTCGCGACCACTTTTCTCGTGTACATTCACCGTATATTCCACAATTGACAGCAAACGAACGAGCGAGCAGGCGAGGGCATCGACGAATAAAATTATATTTACGGCCGCTGCCTGAGCTTTTTAAGTGTATAGAAAACGTTCGACTCGAGTGCGCGCACTCGTTCGTATATTTAAACGAAGGCAAATATATATGAAATATTTTGCTGAATTTATATTTCTATACACATAACGCGCGAACTCGAGAGATATGCACGCGCGGAGAGCAAAAAATTTACGAACCATCGGGTGTGCATTTACGTCGTTATATATATAGTAGTGCTTTGGGACGAGCTTTCTCTTAAATGCACTTGTGGGTATATAAAACTATATATAATAAAATATCGTTACACATTGACGCGTGTATGGCGCGCCGCGTGCGGCTGCGCATTGTTTGCGCGGCGCGGCATTGCCACAAGTGCTCTCTATATTACAACAATGTCAGATGGATAAAAAAGTCATAGAAAACGGTATCTCTCTCTCTCGCGGCAAGAGACTCGGAGTGCTGCAGTGCGCGGCCTATATGTGTAGCAGCAGCAGCCGTATTATAATCTCCTACGGCGCGCGTCGAACACGAGCTAAGCGTTCCGAGGCTGCTGCAGGTTTTTTTCAGGCGAGATGTTATCGCGCTTTCTTCGCGAGTAAGCTTGCGCTTTTCTCTCTCTCTCTCTCTCTCGGCGGGTTGTATTAGCTTATACATCGATGTATACGGTCACGAAATCGCGTAGAGCACTTTTATTCGTGCCGGCAGCGCAGCTCCTTTTTCGGGCCTATGTACGTTCGACGTGCGCGCCGGTTATAAAAGGATCTCGACGCGATCGATCGCGCGCGGTTCTTGTCTTACAAGCAAAATCGACATTTTTCAAATATTTACACGAACACACACGTACACACACACATCCATGCATTTCTTGTATACTAATTGCCGTCTTTATTTCTCTCTCTCCCTGCCTGCGCCATGCTTCCGGCCGACGACCGACTTGCTGCAAAACGAAAAAAAAAACCAACACGAAAACCAGTTCCAATGCTGCGGAGTCGACAAGTACAACGACTGGTACAACATCAAGGCATGGCCGCGCGAGGAGCGCGTGCCCGACTCGTGCTGCCGGGTGCGCGAGCGCTACTGCGGCAAGCAGTACGAGAACGACGATCGCCAGCTCAACTGGTATCAGGACGGCTGCTCGGCGGCCATACAGATGTGGCTGGTGCAGCGTCTGCACTTCGTGGGAAGCGTCGGCTTGGCCATAGGCTTCGTCCAGCTGTTCGGCCTCATCGCCAGCATGATACTCTTCTGCACGGTCAGGCACAAGCGATCAACCCACACGTACAAAAGCTACGACACAACGACGACATAAAAAGCAAAAAAGCAAAAATTTGACGATCATGCCTCTATAACTATGATTTTTTTACATCATCCACAATCTTCACGGTTATAGTTTTAATTTTTAAATTATTATCATTATGAATTATTATTATTATTTATTTCGTCACTTTTATCGAGAGCAAAATAATTAAACGCCACTCGCGTGGGCAGAAACACGATACATAACATAATATGATATTACACGCATACATAAAAAAAAGAAACGCACATGTATACGTTTTTAAAACATGCGAGTGGCATATATTATTTTTAATGATGCGTGGATAAATGTTGATAAACCCCCTTTTTAAATGTTCGAGCTTATAACGTGTAAGTTTAATTGACTCTCTGTGTATGTGTATGCCCTGCAGCTCCGAGAGAGACGAGCATCAGGAAACGAGGTAAAGCTTTGCCGATTCTGGATGAGGAATACCGATTAAGTTGATGATGATGATGATGATGACGGCGGCGTTCGGCGGATGTAACGTCGAGAGGATCAAGCGGATGAATGATTAGAACAAAACGAAAGTACTATATGTAGCCATAAAATCCTCGCTCTTATCTCTCTCAGACCTGTGCTTTCGACGATGCGAGGCGATTCGTGAAGTGCTTTATATAGACAATGACAAAAATCGGCACGATTCGAGACTCGAGGCGAGCGCAAAATTTTTCTTTATAATTTTTCGCATCTTGTGCACGCACGATTATTAATTTTAACGCACAATTTTCATTTCATTATGTGGTAACGAGCTGCTAAATACATTTGTTCATGCGTAGAAGCGATCAAAGATTTGTAAATAAGAAACGAATTCGTAAGTAAGTTAAGAAAATAAATTCAAAATTGTTTTATAATTACGCACCTTACAATCTTTGATCTAGTGTGCCAAAAAAAAAGATAACGAAAAATTTTGACATGAATGATGTATGTGTATGCGTGAATGTGTGTGAATGAATCTCTGTGAGTGTAATGGTATTTGACAGTATTCAATATGGCAATTGTAAGCCGAAAGCGAGTATAGACATTTTCATTCATGTGAATACGCCGCAGTGGACATATTAAAATAATAGCAATAATAACATTTATATTTGTGATAAACTACACATTACACGATCTTTTTTTTTTCATCGTTAATCGAAAATTTTTGACACTACCTTCGATTCATTGCCTCACTGTGTGAAAAAAGCAACGATTACACGCGCACTCGCAAAAATATTTCTTTACAAAGCTTATACAATGCGACAAATTTGTCATCATTCGTATCTTTTGATTTAGTGCCATGTAAATGCCGAAAGTAAAAAGATTTCATCGTAAAATGCTGTTTGGTTTTCTTTTCTAACTGTAAGACCGAGTGAATACTTTGAGTGCGCAACAAAAGCTTTCTTTATAAATATTAAAATATACGTAGAGTAAGACGCCTAATTTAAGACGATGGAAGTATAATAATGCATTTATCGTTACGACTATATTTTTACAGGACTAAAATTAATAGAAATTCCGGACATTACTGCTGCTTTGTAGAGGACATAAAAAGATAGTGATTAGTCAAGAAGTGCCCCGAAGATTGTATTTATCAACATGGAAATATATGAACGTATATTTTATAACACGTTGACTATTATTTATATGAAATTTGGAAAAGAGCATATTCTCGTATTTGTACAGTAGCTGCAAACGTATATAACGTAACAATTTTTTTTCTATAGAAGACTGTCTATCTCGATGGTTGTAATTTTCACATTTAAAACTTTAAAAAAGTTATATTGTAATGCGTTATACAAATTATATAGCTTTTACTTGTTTTCTGTATGCCAATTTTTCATAAAAATCAAATCCGAATAAAACTTTCAAATTGTATAGTGTATTATAGAATATAAAAAAAGAAATGTATGTAATAAGCAAAGGATAATCGATGGCAACTTCAAAACAGGTAGTTTAATGCTACTCGCGTGTACAATTTGTGCGCACGCGAACTAGCATTATAACGAACGATAGATTGTACAGATCGAGAGGAAAGAAGAATAATAAAGAAATATTTATAATAAGCATTGGCGCTCGCGTCAATCACAATGTATAATTCCTACTTTGTCAATTCATACAAATTATATTGCTACAACGCAAAGAAAGAGAAGAGGAAGAAAAATTACCTATACACGACCGACACTTTATAATAGATAAGTAAATGACTTTTCTGTTATAACGTCGATGATTATCGTAGAGAGAAAAATATTTTTAATACGCGTGGTAGTATTTGCAATCTTGCTGTTTTTGTTTTGAATTTTGAAAGATCAGATGTATAAATGTTGGTCAATTATTGAGAAATTGAATCATTTCTTTCTAAATAATACGAGTTTATATTATTATAACTACGATTTTTTCTACATACACTTTATACACAAAAATTTAGCAGCGATGTTTCTTATAACTTATAGGTAATTATATTTACATGAATTCCATACAATTAAATATCTAAAAATGTAATTAATAATAAATAACAGAAATTCGTTCCAAACTGTCTTTTGATTTTGTCATTAGCTATATCACTGCAAACCAACCAGTCTTGATCCAATTTGATTGAGCGCCTCGGTTATGGTCCTCGATGTATTTTTGGCGGCTTTAACGGGAAACTGAAATTTTTACAAAAACAAAGAATTCAGTCAATGACGTTCGTGCGAGCTCAATAACAAACTGGGTAAAATGCAAAAAATTTTGCCCGAAACCACCGACGAGACATATTTATTATACGCTTATAATTTTAAATCGAAAACGCGTTGTGACGCAAATGATAAAATATGGGTTTACAGGTGAAATTAAGAAAAAAAAGTTTATTTTCGCGAAGTCACACCGGACTTGCATAATTTAAACTCGCAATCAAAGCAGCATTATCGTTTCGCCACATTGAGCAAATGTCGACGAATCGTATATATTCAAAACTCTTAGGTATTAAATATCTGACCTTGCACCTATTTATAATAGACGTTATGAAAATAAAAAGAAACAAAACGCACAATAAGATGTCGCAATCTTGACGCGTGCGTTATTCGCAATTGTAAAGGTAAAAAAAGTGTCAATGTGCGCGTGGCGCGGCGGTGCGTCAGTGATCTCATCAACGAAAACCTACAATCAACCTCATTTTTTTTGTCACCACTGGCGTCACATATCGGTCTTAACAAACATCAACGGTTTTTTCTTCTTCATTCTTTTAGCATAGACTCCAATATATATATCCGAGGTCTCGCGATAAAAAAAACAAAACCGCAATATACACAGATGATGCTCCGCAGAAGAAGAAAAAAATCATCATCATCTACTCACTTCGAGCACGGCATTGAAGATGTTGGTCAATCCCTCGACACCGGTGACTAGCGCTCGGCCCACGCCAATGAACCTGTCGCCGTTGTTGCCGTACTTCTCCTCCTCCTGGATATTGTCGATGATCGGCTTGGGCTTGAGGACGTTGTCGAGCAGACCGCCGATGTCGCTCTTGCGTCGCTCGAGTATCGCCTGGTCTTTCTCGTTCTCCAGCCTGACTGTCTCGCGGGTCCTCGGGGGCAGGGCGTTGGCGAACGGCAGCCTCTCGTACGACTGGAGCATTCGTCGGCCACGGGCCAGGGCGTCGTTGGCCGCGCCGACGGCCCCGGCGATGTTGTTGCGCGTCTCGCTCATGAATTCCTGTAACTTGTGGGAATGGTTTTTGCTGTAATTATGTGTCATTGGTTGCGTCTGTATTAGAGAGAAATTATTTTAATAAACACACTATGATATATTTGAAGAACTAGAAGAAGAAGAATTGTATTAAACGAAGTACATACATATAGATTCGCAAATTAATTACACTATAGTACAATTTTGTCGGTATGTTTTTTACAGTACATATAGGATCAATTATACACTTTATAATACAATATACATATTCAATTAGTATTTAAAAATATTCATTAGCACTTGGAGAGCGAAGGAAATATTTGAATTGAATGTTTTATCGGTATTATACATCGTAGAGAACTTGAGTTTTGCTCTGAAGGCTCTCTCGTATGACCCGCACCAATTCAAATTTTAATGATGTGATTCAATGGAATTTTGTTAGTGGATTATGTATTAATAAGCCGCAGAAGAGTGTGGATTACGCTACGAAAATTCGCGATTACGGGTATACCGCTTATTCCCGTGATACACCTTGCAAAGTGGGTTTTGCATCGGAAGATCGAATAACAGAATATTTAAATGTATCGGCCGTCACCTCCGGATTAATTCCCCCAAACAAGCAGGTCAATACACACACGGGTCGAGAGCAGAAGCAAATGATTTTATAATTATTCAGCGCTCGTTGCAAAACTTTTTATTGCGAGTAAAGATGTCGAGATATGTGATAAAAAAAAAGTAAAACTTCCATGCACAAAATCACGTATGGTCGTATGTAATAACTTTACTCAAGGCAAAAGCTTGTTTTTTTGATTATTGTAAAGCAACTTTTACAAATTTATCATGCAAACGATGTGTTTCGGAGCTATACATGCCTTGGAAAACAATTTATCATGACGAAGTTTACGTTACAGTATATTTTTCAAATCACGATTCTATGTTAGTCTATATGTGTGACGTACCCATTATTTTTATTTTCTATACAAAAATATATATCACTGTGACATATCCGTGCGAGCTGCTGCACTCTCACAATATGATCTACAATTTAAAAAAGGACAGAAAAATATCGATAATTAGATCATTATAATATAGCGATATGCGAGTAGTATAATGCACTTATTAGAGTAACAAAATGTATAACACTGAAAGTAGAGTAGAGTAGAGAGAGAAAGAATTATAAAGCCAGAAAGTAGGACTGAATGTCAAAAAAAAAAAAGAAAAAAATAAGGTACGATTCTACGCGACCTTTCTGAGAGTCGCGTGAGATCGTTTCAGTCCTCATTTCTTTATTTTAAGCACTGCCAAGCATCCATTTGGAAGATTGAATTTTTTTTTATACAGCTAGAAAAAAAACAAGGACAATAATAAGAGTTGAGCAAAAACAAAACACAAGTAATTAAGAAGAAGAAAATAAAAACAATATAGCAATACGAAAGCGACACTTGTTTTTGTTGGCGAAGTTTTTTTTTCTTTGTATCAAACAATTCAATTACCTCCATTCGGTCGGCTAAGATGTTTCGTGCTATCGCGACAGAATTAACTAATCGCCCTCTGCCGAACCTTATCGAGTCTGCCATTTCATCAAACCATGCCTACACAAAACGTCAATTATTAATTTTCACACTCCGTACAACCTGCGTCTATCGAAAGCAAATTTTTGTTTCTTGATTGAGAATTTCCGCCGCCGTGTCCAGCTTACACAGTCGCCAATTATAGAAAGAAATTAAGAAACAGCGGCAGCAATTCGGCAATGCCATTGTACAGCTTGACTCCTCTCCGATTACGCTACAGTAGATTCCTGCGTGCCTGAACAATGACTGTGGCGAATAAGAATAAGAATAAAAAAATTCGTCCATTACGAAATTTCCCTTCAAGGCAAGGATACCTTGCGCTCGTTTGCTCCTGCTGTGGTGCTATTACGAATTATAGGCTTAAGAAGCCGCATGCATAAAATTAAAGTTAGAGATTTATTTTGTTATATCTGGGTTGAGATGAACCATAATTCTTTATTCTATCTGGATCTGGTAAAAAATGTTAACCCTGAAATTTTTATATTATAATAATTATGGTATAGATGAAAACGTGCGATGATTTGTTATTATCTGATGTAGTTTTCTAGTTCACTCTGCGGTACGCGATATACCGCAGATTGACTCGATTCCGTTTTTTTAAAAAGCTCGAATGTAAATGTCAAATCATCAGATGCACTTTCATTTTCTCTCGATTCGTGAATTACGTAAAATCGTGTAAAAAAGAAAAGAAAAAACATTTACCATTCCATTTTGAAACCTTCCTCCGGTACGCGCCTGTGGATCTTCTGCTACTTGCGGCGACCCGGCCAGATCCTTCAGCGAAGCGTCCTGCAAGCCCGCGTCCAGTGCCACGACCGTTGGGACCGGCGTTTCCTCGGCCACGGGTTTACAGCTCACCAACTGGCTGGCGAACATCAGCATCAGCGTGACGCCCAATAATCGCACCGAATGTGTCCTCATGTTTTCTGGGCAGATCGATATTATTTATAAGAATAAAAAAAAATTAAAAAAAAAAAAGAGGATAGAGAAAAGAAGAGATTTTCGCGCGGACGAGACTCCAGCTGCTTGGTATCGCTATGATATACGCACCCGCACTCGTATATTGTTGTAAACACACTGTATATAGCTCGGGACACCCAGAGGCCCCGGAGTCTCTCTCTCTCTCTCTCTTTCTCTCTCTGTCGAGCTCTCCTCCGTCTCTCTCTCTCTCTCCGCGAAGAAAGAGTGAGAGAACCTTGACGTTATATTGCGACAGATATATCTTTTAGCTCGCGTGCTTGGCTCGGCTCGGCGCGCGCTGGACACTTTCGACGCGGGCTGGCTGGCGCTGGACGCACACGATACGCGAGCGCGCGCGACTCTGTAACTGTGCGCGCCTAGCTAAAAAAATACGCGCACACACTCGCGTGTGTATATGATAGAGCTTGTCAAGTGGTCGCTTTTTAAGTGATACAGCTTCAGGAAGTATAACATTACCTTATACACACACACACTCGCTCGTATCTCTCATAAATCGAGTACATTATACGCACACACAGACGAGACGCAGTCGATGATGGTAAAATTGTTAACTTAATATTATACGCGTGCCGCGCGGCGCTTGGCCCCGCCGCGCTCTGTGACTCGTAGATACCGTGAAAGTCCCGGTACTGGTTTTCGCGCTCGTTAAAGCATTTTTTGCGTTTTTTTTCGCACGGAACGATCTAGATTGAGGAATTTTAAACGCGAGTCTCCGAAAAATCTCGCGAGCCGAGCGAATTTAGAAAACGTCGAAATCACAGACATACCGATCGATCGCGAAGATTCGATCTGAGTTTTGTGGTCGTGGGATACGAGATGCTGCGCGGTATTGAACTTGATAAGATTTTTGGCAATTCGAATTGTTTGCTTATTTATGGAGGTCGTGTTAATTAATCTGCACGCGAGCCAAAATGAAAAGAAAATTACCCAAAATACGCGCAATCTTTAATATTAAATATAAAAATTTATAAATAATATTTTACAAAACTTACTTCCAATTGCAACTTTCACTTTTTCTCGCTCTTTCTCTCTCTCTGTCATTGGCGTCGAGCGCGCACACTCGAATCACAAACGATATCCCTGCACCATCCGATACACTATATACACAGACACACACAGACGCGCGAAACAAAAGTGTTTCAAAACTCGTAGGGCAAAAAAAAGAGTGCACGACGTGTGTTACTTGTTACAAGGAGAGGCACATCGGAGCAGCAAACTGAGCGCATCGCAGCTCAACGCGCGCGACCCGACAAAATTGCTGTTCATACACAAGATAGTGTCGCGCGCGCCCGGAGAGTTTATACAGTTTAAAAAGCTGTCAATTCCATCCACACTTCTTACGAAACCGCACAACGAGCGTATCTCGCAAAAATGGCTTTCTCTTTGGACAGGAGCGTCGTGCGCGAGATACGCTTCGAGATGTATACACACGTATAGTATTATATGTACAGAATAGACAACCGGAGAACGTTTGACGAGCAGCGGCTTCTGGAATTTGCAATTTTCTCGATTGATTTTCACGATTGAGTTCTTTCTTTGTTGTCGGATCGATTTAAAGTTGATAGAACTCGAATAATTCGAACTACTTTGATGTTGGAGCGTGTGGTCGCTTCGAGGTATATAGAGCTAAAATTTTTGGGCTACCTAGATGCGGTTAGTAGCTTATTAACCCTTTAACGCCTGAAATGACCATTTTTGGACAACATTTATAGCGATGAATTACACCGACTAAAAATTGTTTAAAATACTTTTCAGATATCATCTCTTACGTAAAATTTAATGTACTTTTTGAATCCAGGGTCAGAATTTTCAAAAATTTCTTTAATAAAAAGTTATAAACAATTTTGTAACAAAAACATGAAATTTCGAGAAAAAAATCTCGGTTAACTCAAATTTCAACACGTAAAAAAGGTTCGCTCGTGCGTCTCACGCATATAGATTTGGTCAATGGCATGTATACTTTATTGTAAAATAGTTATAATTATGAAATTCAACATGGCGATCATAAATTTGACTCCTGAAGACCTGTATGTCATAAAATGATTTCGACAATTTTTAACTTGATAACCATCAACTATACGAGAAAAAGTTATGGAACAAAAAGTGTTTAAAATTGACCAAAGAACTCGCTTGATTTTTTGCCGAATTTTTGAAACGATTTTTGGATTTCTGGATAACCAGCCATTGACCAAATCTATATGCGTGAGACGCACGAGCGAACCTTTTTTACGTGTTGAAATTTGAGTTAACCGAGATTTTTTTCTCGAAATTTCATGTTTTTGTTACAAAATTGTTTATAACTTTTCATTAAATAAATTTTTAAAAAATTCTGACCCTGGATTCAAAATGTACATTAAATTTTACGTAAGAGATGATATCTGAAAAGTTATTTAAACAATTTTTAGTCGGTGTAATTCATCGCTATAAATGTTGTCCAAAAATGGTCATTTCAGGCGTTAATGGGTTAAGGCGACGTCCATAAATGACGTCATGCCAAAAAGGCAGGTTTTAGACCCCCCCCCCCCCTCCTTTGTCATCAGGTGTCATAGTTCGAACCTGCCCCCCCTAAAAATGACGTCATATTTTGAGCAGATACCCCCCCTAAAGTAACAAAAATTAGAATAAAATTCATATATATTTTAATTTCATATATTATAAGTCATTTATTAAACATTTGTAAAAGAGAACAGTAAATTTAGTTTAAAATTTGTAATTAAAAACATAAATATTTAAAATTTTTTTTGTCATCGTTGATCAAATCCGTAGTCCAAGGACTTTCTAACCAGTCCTTCATATTTCCTATTGCAGGAAACTCGTCCTTATCATCCTCATTATTTTTTGGAACTTCCTCCATACTCTCTTCATCTAAATCTTCAATATCTATCCATTCCAATATTTCTTCCTCGTTTGAGTCGCGTATAATGCAAAGAGCCTCGTTATTTCTGTAGTTGATTATTTTTACAGGTTGAACTCGGCTACATGAATCTAAATTTTTGTCGTTTGTGTTATGTTAACTTCTAAAATGCTCTTCACATGCTTTTTTAGAAGAAAAGTACAGTCCACAAACGGAGCCACTCCTCTCTGTGAATTTATTATGAACCGAAGAACAATAATAGTCATATGGAACCTAGGAAATAAAGAAAAAAATTGTATTATTCTTCATATTGCGGCTTTAAAAGCATCATAACGATTATTGCGATTCCGAGTGATAGACTAAAAATGTCCGTAGATTTCGGATTTACTGCTGAGGAGCTGGTGGAAACCAAATTTCATTTTTACGACGCATTCGATCACGCCAGAGAGAGCAAAAAAAAAACCCAAACAAGCGAGAGAGAGAGAGAGAGAGAGAGAGAGATTGAAAATGTTCGCATCTACTTTCGTTAATTTCCGATGCGCGAAATTAAGTTGGCGACGATCTGCAATTGTCTTTGAACTCGTGCCGTTCAGTACTCGGGCACATATTTTTATCCACTATACAGTGGCTTAATAAAAAAAAACAAAGAGAACAAAAGGCGTTAGAGTATACCATATGAAGCAAGCAATAGAGATTTTCTTGCACCTTACAATGGGTGAAGAAAAAAATGGAAAAAACCAAAAGCAGTTCGAGGAGAGTATACATAACAAGCGAGAGAGAGAGAGAGATTGAAAATGTTCGCATCTACTTTCGTTAATTTCCGATGCGCGAAATTAAGTTGGCGACGATCTGCAATTGTCTTTGAACTCATGCCGTTCAGTACTCGGGCACATATTTTTATCCACTTTACAGTGGCTTAATAAAAAGGAAGTTCAAGATCGACACCCGTCGGAAAATATGGAATGGAGACCAGGCGGACTTCATTAGCCTATTTAAAGCCGCGGCTGAATATCTGACAGGGCTGCCGCATATTTTCGTCAGAGGTTATTTTACTGGTAAGTCAAAACCAATTAAAATAATTTTTTCTTTTCATTTAATTTAGAAAACCTGCACCTCTGAATGATAAAAAATGTTTGCAACGGCAGAAAAATATTTTTAATTTAATCTATTTGTTTTTTGTCCATGAATGAATATAGATGATGAATTAAAATATTAAATAGAACAAATTTAATAATTCTGGAATTTTTTTCTGTTACAGGAAAAAATATGCAACGTCTGTTTTTTGATGCGAGAATGTTCGAGCAAAAACCTTCGCTCGTAAAGACGGAGGACGATGCAGAAATGGTACTTCAATACGAGATGTTCTACAAAGTCTATCATCTACGCGAAAACTTCTTTTTAAAAAATATCAACATTGATTCACATATATTTAATTGAAAATGTTATATTTAAGTTGTTTATTTAAAGAAAAGTTTGTTTATTTAAAAAAAAAGCCATGTTGTATCCATGTTGTAATATCTATGTTGTTCATAGAATTTATAATAATAATCAAGCTGAAAGTAAATTATCATACGTTAAACACTTGAACCAATTGAAAATAATAATACAATAAAATTTCTTACTTTTAATTTTAAGATTTCTTTTTCTTGTTTCAAGCCTGAGATCTTGGTATTTAACGTCCTGCTCACAAGCTTGACAGCCGACCAAAACCTGCGTCTTCAACGGCTCCAAACGCGTCCATACGCTTCATATACGGTGACATACCTCGCATGGCCCATATAACGCCTTATCGTCTTGTCTTGGGTTGGCTGTCGGTGTCGGGGCGGCGTTCATACTTGCTGATCAAACTTGCCGTAATAGTTATTTACACATCAAGGGCTGGTAGCGGTGTGGATACAGTCGAGGTGTGTTTGCAGCGTTGGGGCGCTGTAGTCGCCGAGGCCGCGTAGCGGCCGAGGCACTACAGCGTCTCCAACGCTGCAAACACGCTGAGACGTATCCACACCGCTACTCAGCCCTTGTTGTATAAAAAATTTTTCTGCATAAGAGCTCGTTTTGAGAACTATATCATGCATAATTGTTATGTTCCATTTAATTTCTTTATAGCACTCTAAACTAAAAACTGTGACTTTGCCGCTAGTTTTAGGCTCTCGTGTACATACTGTATATGCAACTTGTGTGGATATGTTTTTTCTGAAAAACGAGGGGTTACATAAAGCACTAGTTGTTCCAACTTGAATCTCATTACACTGATTTTCCTAGTGTCTTGATGAGTAGAGTCGGTATAACATCGGTCACGCTGCATTTCTTTCCATTATTCAGTTTCTACTGCTTCATTTTTACAGTCATCGTGTTTGGTGCGAACACAAACATGACTTAAAAATGACATTTCTATCTCATGTAGATATGTTTACATTCAAGAAAGAGAGGTTAAAGGCAGCGCTAGTCGGCCCGCCACTTTGACATGTAGCAGACAGCACAGGCTACACGCACGCGAGCTGAGCGAGTCGTCTCGGCTCGAGTCTGCGGGATCGCATACAGTCGAGGAGAGCAGCGCGCTACGTGGCGACAATTCACACTTCTCCTCGACTGTAATCAGGGCTCCTCGACCTGTATTCAATTGATTTCAGTGCGAGGAGAAGTATGAATTGTCGCCACATAGCGCGCTGCTCTCCTCGACTGTACGCGAATGCGTTACTCACTGAGCACGCTCAGCGCGAAATCAGCCTCAAACGGGCTCGTATGCTGAAAAAATCATTTCAACTGCGTCGCCGGCACCACTTGCAGCCGGCTTCTCATTTCCCAATGATCAGCAGCTTGAGCGAGCGTCCCGACGTCGTCGACCCCCAAGGCTTTACCACGAAACAGTGCACAGAGCTGCTTTTTTTAAGTCATTTACGGTCACATCCTCTCGCCTCATAAACGATATTCCATTTCCATTTAATCTCATGCATCCTCAACCAAACTTTCATTACCAACTTTCAAATCATTTGCTATCAACTGAAAAGTCAGAATGGCTGGAGCGCTGCTTACTGGAGGGCCTTACTCCAATCCCTTCTTCCCTCTCACTCACACTTACTCTTCCCTAAATGAGATCTTTGCTCCGCCACCTCTTGTCTCGCTGTTGCGTCGGCTCTCGCGCTCTCGGGCGCTTGCCTGCCTCTGCCCGGGGTGGGTGCGGGCCTTGTCTTGGTGTGATATGTCCGTGCTGTACCAGCGGACTAAATACACATACTGATAATCAGTCGCAACATAAACTCAAGCTCATAGTGTAACTTGTAAATATCTAATTTATACTGCAATTCGTAAATATGTGTATAATAATTCTGTAAATTGTAAAATGCCAGTGGGGCCAGATAGGGTTATACCCAAAGGTTCCTAATAAAAAATCAATCAATTATAATTTTTTTTTAAATGGATGACCATTTCTTACTCAAACATATTTTATCATTCAAGTGCATTGAATTGGTTCTACCATATAATTCAAGACAATTCTACTCACAAGAACAGATGAAGCGGATAGGCTTTAGGATTGACTTATACAATTAAGTTTACTTTGTCGCTTGAAAGTTTGCGGATATCTTGGATCATATTGGATAAATGTACTCGCCATCTATTGGTTAAACTAGTAAATTAGTAATATAGTCGAGTAGAGAGGCTTAATATAGCATTCACAGTTTAAAATGGTTGAAATGGTATACATTTTTGAAACAATTAAATAGTCATTTACGTGTCATTTAAAATGTGCGTAATATTTATGATTTAATGAAACTGAAAAATCTCCAAAAACAAGCCAATTACTGGGAATAAATTTTAAAATATTTCAAATAAGCATTTTTTTGGTCATTAGACCATTGTGAGTGTTGAGGATTTCTACCATAGTTAATAATGACGGTTGTTGAACAATGTAAAAAACTAAATCGTTAGCATCAGTTCACTTGTTATGCACACACATTTTTCAAAAAATGTCTAAATGGATTTTAAGTAAGTTGCAATCCTATATTATCGACACTTGATCGATAAAATAATTTTTATTTTATTGTTATTCAAGCTCACTGAATAATAAATTATTGTCTTTTTTTGTAATTAAAAATTAAAATACTTTTTTCGAGATCATAAAATGAGGACCGTTTTAATTATCGTTACTCTAAAAGCTCATCGCAAAATATTGACTTTGCAATAAAATTGTGAACAAATGCTCAATGGTACAATCATATTCTATATTTATACAAAAAATGATTAAATTCATTCTACATACAAATAAGCGATATTTTGATAATGTATTTTGAGAGTCAAGAATTGAACATTTTCAACAAGTAGTATTAGTAAAAACATGGTCAGGCATGCGATACCGAGATTTTGTACTACACAATTAACTTTTTTTAAAATATATTGTATAAAATGACACAACAAATTTTGATGATATGCAACTGTAATTGATTAAAATTGAAAATAATAAAAATGACAAGTTTTATAGTGATTATTGATCTTCCACGTTTATTACGAAATCTTACTACAAACACATGAAAAATATTAACGCTAAGAGTAAAATAGGAAATTGCCATGAGTCAAAATTAAAATACGAATCCTCTTACATGCGACGCATATAAAAGTCCACTCATTGTCATTCAATTCAAATATCACAATCGCCGATTCAAACTCGTGCGCACACTTATTTTCACGAATCAACAACAAAGCTACAGCGTATTACAATTTTGTTTCTCTTTTTTGTTCTTTTCTTTATTTTGTTGTAATCTTCTCCAGCCTTGGAACGTGATGAAAATTCGAATGTCTTCATTACATTATACAATATTGCGGAATATTTGATTTAGCATATCGATATATTTTTATTGTACACAATACATTATTATGTAAAGCTAATCGCGAGTAACGTATCGAGCGGCGATGAGTCGATTTCGATAATTACTGATTTCTATCGAGGAAAAATTATAATAAAAATAGGTTATTTTCTTTGTTGCCGTAGCGCCGCGAGAAGAGAGCTGCTAATCCGCGCTGAGATAGATTGATTCCTCACTTCTTGCCGACGTGATTCTTCAAGAGCTTGTTCACGGCATTCAGCGCCGAGATTGGAATCTGAAAAAGGATAGAAAAGTCTCGCATTACAAACGTCGATCAAACTGCCACGATTAATTGTCCGCGGTTAATACGGGCTAATCGTTGGCTTGTACAATAATACGCAATTACTCACGTTGAAAATGTCATCGAACAGCGTCGACCTGTGTTTGGGTCGGCCGGTGTCTTGAATCGCCTCGTCATTAGATGCGCTGGCGGTAGCCCTGGAATAAATGCCCGACGTCTGCCTACCTCCGCTGTTTTTTTCTTTGATACTATTATTACTACTATTGTTGATGTTGGTGCTGCTACTGCTGCTACTGCTACTGCTGCCAGCACTGCTACTCGTCACTGCTTGTTCAGATATAGCATTACTGTCGGTCGTCGTGGGCTCAGCGGTAGTCTGGCCTGCGGCCGCGATACGCTCCTGGACTCGTTTTTCAAAGTACCAACGAGCGGGATGCGATTTTTTCAAGGCCTCGTCGTCTGAGTCCGAGGGGTCTGCGCAAAGAGAGAGAAAAAGAAAACCGCCCCCGAAAGTCTATTGATAATGTCTGTCTTTGTGTGCTTCGTATTAATTCATATAATAATGACGACGCGACGATCGATGAGAATGAGGTGAAATGAATTATTGGTGCAAAATTATGTCGTGTGAATGAATGAGCATGAATTCGATGAGAAAAAAAAGTTACCTCGGCTCATATTTTGTCAGTTTGTTTAGTCAAAACAACATAGTTTAGTCTACACTGTTAGAAGGATTTAAATTGAAATTAATGTAATAATGGAGGAAGTTTTTTTTTCTCTACGAGAATGAATTCAATTCCATCTAAAAGTATTCGTACAACAGCTGAGTTCGATTTCATTTTGAGAAGATTTAATTTTTGATTTATACAATTCTTTCCACTTTTCCACCTGCAGATTTAGAAATGAAAGTACTCGCCATCTAGTGGTGAATGTTGGGTTTGATCATAATTGAATTTGTATACTGTTTTTGATCAATTGACATAAAAACAAAATCAGAATTGACTCATTAATTTTAATTTAAATTTTAAAAATACAGTAAATATAATTTAATATTAGTTACTGCAAGTTTAATGTCTGATTTTAGATTACATCTGCATTAAATGTATAAGAATTATTTAAAGGTTTACAGTACGATTGTTAATATTACCTTACATATGTCACTGTTTTAATAGTATTATGAGTGCGTCAGTCGGTGCGTTTTTGCGATTTGCGTGTGTGTTAGGCAAAGCTGAAGAGTTAAAAAGCCATTTTTTTACATCACGTTCTAATGGGTATGACTGAAAAGTAGAACTTTGAAAATGACCATTTGAAGAAAAAAATTATCCAAATGCATTCTGATGTGTTACAAAACTTTATATTTTCATGAGACTAATGTATATTATTCATGAATTAACATTAACTATAAAGCAAACTTTTTTTTCGAAAATAAAAATTATTCCGTAGGTATTCCTGGGTTGGAGATATTGGAAATAGGCATCGGGATTCTTCAAAAATTAAAACCTAGAACGTAAATTTCGTCAACGATGTTGGATTCAATTTGTTTGTTATGTGAATAAAGCTTGAAGGGTTTTTTAAAAAAGTTTGCGCGTTGAGCAATTGTTAATATCAAGCAAAATCAATAAATATGTGAGAAACATCTACTTTTCAGTTCTTTTAAAATTATTATAGCCATGCAATAAAACTGCGATTTTGTAAAATCATTATGAACCTCTATTCAAAGCCGCAGCCGTTGCTCCACTCGCCGCATATTGATCCTAAAACAAAATGAATCATTCGGTTCGTGAGAATTTCAATTTGTAACGATCCAGGGTAAAAGAAGGAAAAACTAGTTAAACGAGTACGTATGTATGTATTGCTCTCTCGCGTTGACGCGTAAAAGACTCAGATGCATGTATAATTCTACATGCACTGGACACGAGCTCACCTGTTCCGTAGCCTTTTTGGGTCTTGGAATTATCTGGACATTTTTGCCCTTAGTCTTGGACACCTCGATGCCGTTGGCTATCTGGGCTCGCGAGTAGATGTCACCGGACGGCTTCGGTCCGGCCAACGAACCCGAGAGTCCAGCCTCGGCTGCCGGTCCGCTGCCGCCCAGTCCCGCTCGTGCATGAAGGCCGCCCTCTGCAAGAAAAAAAGTGTGTGTTTATGTTATCCATATCGTATATAAAAATATAACGCAATGTGATTTCTTTGGAACACGTGTTGTCGGCTTAGCGCGAAATTTGCATCACATAGCTCTACAACACACGAAATGAATTTATTTCATTGCCTTATCGTGCGCTCGCGCGTGTGGCGCTTGCGTTATAACGTACATTACTTTTCGAGTGTGTATGGAAATTTTGCAATATTTTTTTCCCCCCCTCGAGGATAAATTTACGATCTGCATGAGATATATCGCGGTGACGAAATTACGTTCGTTCGTATATTTTTATCATATTTACGTGGTCCGTTCTCGAGACTTCCTCCGAGGCCGGCGCTGGCCGAGGGTCCGTTCTCGATGCCGGCGCTAGCGTGCAGTCCTCCGTCGGCGGCTCTGCCCGTGAGCAGACCTCCGAGCCCGGCCTGGGCGTGATAGCCGCCGAAGTTCACGCGAATTCCACCCTTGGTGAACTGAATGAACGGAAGCTGCGAATTGAAAAATTGAATTAGCAAGTGTAACGAGGTTTAGATACGAGAAGGCGCGATTAAGATCTTTCAACGAAATCGTGCGTAATATCTGCACGTGTCAACAACGTTGAGTCAAAAACATATTTAAAAGCTAATCAGGAACCTCGTTAAATATTACGAGTGCGAATTATAATTCTGCGTGTTTAAGCTTTTTCCGTTCGTATCTTGACCGAAAATCGATTAAATAACGATCGGTCGGTGCATAATGGTGCAGAAAAAATTCATTATCCAACAGCTGATTCGTTTTTTTTTCTTCTCCATCTAACGATATCGCAGTCGTTGAAAGAGGGCAACAAAAAAACGTTTGCAAGATAGCTGGAACGCGTAACAAAAAAAGGAGATAATTCCAACGGCTCCTAAATACGACTAATTTATTAAGGATAATTTATCCAACTGTCTCGCTCGTTTAAATCCGAGCAATCGGTGTGTAAGAGATCGTGCGCGCCGGGGCAATCATTTGATTTCATTAACTTTCGTGTCACACACGCTCGCGCGCGCACTCGGCGCATTGCAGCGCTAAATAGCATACCGCAAAAATGTTGCTTGCAAAAATAGACTTAGACAGAGATAAAACTGAATAAAAAACAACCCGCGACGGTTCGACGTACCCGACCTACAGCAGGTCGTTAAACGTTATTACAATTGCGCCTCACACGGGCGAGTAAGTAGCAATCGAACCGCGAGATCGAGCTGCTATGCGCGTCCACCGATACGAATGTATATTATTTACCAATAGCGTTAAAGAATCTCTTTTCACTCTCTATTTATGTATCCCCGATATTTGCGTCACATTCTCACCTGTTACAATGATCATTACGCTCCGGTGGAATTAGAGCCGATTGATTTTCTGCGTGAGTCATGTAGGTTAACGTCGATAGATAGAAAAAGAATCTGAACGAAGATCGCAATTGAATTCAGACAGAGTGTAAACGTCATTACTTGTACCAGTACAAAAGAAAAAGTTTTCGTACGAATCGTCCGTTATTGTCATGAAATTTGTGCATGAAATTTCTGTTGAACATTGAAAACGATGTGATTCACACGACATCTACTGTAACGGGGAATGCCTTGAAGAAGAGCCGGCTAGCTCATGCCACACGAGAATATGGTCGCATACCCGCGTTGCACAGTACAACTCGTCGAAACAAGGCTTCAACAAGCTCCGATGATAATCTCGCGTACAGTAATCGCGTTGCTGAAAAGGGTCGAGATAGGCAACAAGAAATAAATAATTAGTCGCACATTAATAAAATAAAATAAAGCGATTTTATCGCATAAAAATTAATAATTAATAGTTCGAATAAAATTTACGTCCCCAAAAAAATTTGTCAAAAATCGTATTCCTAATTTTTTTTTTTCAGAACTTTGACTTATACAATTGAGTTTTACACTTGCGGATTTATGTATAAAGGTAGTCGCCATCTAGTGGTAATTGATAACTTAAATGTGATTGCATTTTTATTTACTGACACGTTTGATAACTGTGATACTACTTGTTCGATTAAAATGTTTCGAGCCTCTAAACGTTTAGCGCGATAGGTTGGCGGAAGGACTGAAAAAATTATAATTTTCTCCTCCTATTACGTTGATATTATGAATTTGGCATTTGCGATCCTTTGACTACTCGCACCGTTGGCACGGCGTGCGAGAAAAACTTTCGAAATATGTATAATAAATTTTTTCCAAATGAAAAATTGAAAAACGACTCGGCAATTCTCGCGTAATGCCGCGCCAGAGAAAGTAATGCGTAACAGCAATTACAGATCTCGTTCGGTAGATAGCGGGGTAAATAGGGAACGGAGGGAAGGAGGGGAGGCATCGTATATTTTCCGCTGGTGTCAAATTTTAGAGCTCTCGCGCGAAAATCTAATAACATCGTGTCAAGAGCCTCGTGCGTTACACGGTAAGTCACCGAGAGATGATGAATTTCGATTTCGAACTGCGCGGCGCGCGCGTCAGGACGTAAAAGCCGCGTGTCTCGCGTTGATGAAACACCCACACACGACAGTACACACTAAACATAGTGCATCGATTAAACCCATTGCACCCGTACACGTATGCAAATCATAAAAAAGAAAATCCACATAGCTGATAACGACAATCGTGCACCGAGATCTCTTTCTCTCTCTCGGTCGACATGTGCTACGAACTTGTCTCGCGTTTTATATAGAGGGTGCCATTGAAAATTTCACTTCGTGTCCTCGACGAGGTACACATCAATGTGTTTACATCGGAGCTTAGATGAAAGCTGTATTAAAATGACTACCATATGTATGACACGCGCTCGCGAGTGCATGTGCACACGTATGTAAACGAGAGTGTAGAGAAATCTCCGCAGCAGCAGCAACAGCAACCTCGCATGCGATTATTATGCTACACATTCGTTAAATAGAACTATGTCATTGCAGCTCTCGGTATATAGTAGGCTGTGCATACATCATGTGCGTGTGCAACTGCAGGCCGCGAGTGTCTTTACACGCGCAGGTATTCTGGTCTGCGGGGTTAAATTTATGATCGGCGCAAAACAAACGAACGACGTATAATAAAATATTATACGAATGCGATATTTGCGACAGGTAGGTGCGCACGAGCGCGAGAGCGTCATAACTTCTGGCTCGGAAGGAAAATTCGAGGAAGTTGTTTTATGTACTGTAGTTGAACGAACCCATTGCCCATGAGGCAGATCGTTTCCTCTGGATCGAGTGCACCACGACAAATGTTTATTGTCACTATCCCGAGATAAACATGTGTTGCTTTTGTTTTTCCGCGGATCAGTGCGAGTTGACGCAAGTTAGTCGTATACAATTTTAACGAGTTGCAATTTTATTCGCGGGCAATCATATAATATAAACTGTTTACCCAAAGATTTATTCGGATTAACGCGAGCCTACTTTTTCGCGTGCTGCTCGCGTGCCGCGTGTGTATTGCGCAGAATACACTCGTTCAATATGCCGGGCACGCGTGAATAAATGATAAAGCAATCTCGCGCGCATTTTTCCCTTCGTGCACGCAGCATACCCGAGCGAAATGGAAAAAGCGAGAGCAAAGGTAAAAAAAAAAGAGAGAGAGACTGCATTCACTCTCCGTGCGGAATAAATAAAAAAAAAGGATAACCTTGCGCTGCGGTATACGTACGTACTATAAATATATATCACAGCTCCTACCTGGCCGCACTTGCGACAAAAAAAAAACGATCCGAAAGCGTCAGCAGCGCGGGTTTTTTCAAATACGTATACGTTTAATGCGTATACGTACGCGTCGTCGCCGTCAAACGAAAGTGCTACGCGCAACGATCCACGAGCTCGCGGGCGTGAATAATCTTATAACAGCCAAAAAAAAAGGACTCCAATCTGCACGCAGTGATCTCTCAAGGTGGACCGGAGCTCGTTTTGTATCGTAGCTCATTGCAGTTTGCACATTATTGTGCGTGTACAAATTGTACACGCGAACACTCAAAGATGCAAGTTGCATGTGGGTACAAAAAATAATCGAACTGAGATATATTTTGTGCGAGAAAATGACGGAATCTCGAGCGATTACTCAATGAAGATTCGTGCTCGGGGCTCTAATATGCACGTTATAACGTGAAATTGACCAGATTACAGGAAGATGATACTTCGTTTTCTGGCTTTAGCTTTGTACACGCGTGTTGGTGTTTTAATATACGTTCGTGGTGTATGGTCGTAGATACTGCAGTAGAAATGCTCAAAATTTTATGGCTTATTCTTGGACAAGAAAGAAATTTTCAATCACAAAAGGGCCATTAAAATTGGAAATTTAACAAACACGAATGTTTTTTGATTTTTGTTTTGTAATTTTATTTTACTATCTAAAGACCACTTTTTGACTACATAAAAGTAGTGCAAATTACTATATAAAAATTTTTTTTATAAGGTATTTTCAATTTTCTTCGTTAGAAATGTAAAGCATCAATTATATTGAATTTAGTCATTCTGATTTAATAACATTATTGTTGATGCTTGTATTCATATCAGAAAAAATCTAGTTACGTCGCATTTATTGTCAATACAGATATTAATTACCAAAAACCTGCTTCGAGGTTTCGTACTTTCTCCCAAGTTTTAGTTCTTCGCGCTAAGTAAATAAGGATGTTATTATTTTTGGATTAGTTTAGGCGGCCCCCGTAGAGGCCTTCAAAAATTGCCTTAGCCGATGGTTTTTCACATCGTCTTGGCGGGGTATTGGTAAAGTTTTCAACTAGCAATAATCGCACCTCGGTTGAACCTCATTGGTTACGATAATGCCCATGCGCAAAGATGACGAAAGCTAGAAGCCCTTCGCCTTATATGTAGTTAAATTTAATTTTTCACTTTTGGATTTCAGCTCGCCATCTGGCGGTCAATTTGTAAAATATGTAGTCATTTGAAAATCGCACAGAATCTCGGGACATGAACAATTTCTCATAATACTTGAAAATTGTATCGATATTGTAAAAATAAACAAATTATAAGATGATATGGCAACGCCGATATCGATAACCACCGTGTGAGAATCATTCAACCGTGCTTTGACTTATACAATTATTTTTACATTGCCACTTGCAGATTTGCAAATAAAGGCACTCGCCATCTAGTGGTGAAAGTTCCAAGTTTTACAATTCTATTTGAAGTCGTCGAAACTTGGTAACAATTTTTTGAAACAACATCTTGAAGTCATTTGAAATTTCCTAATTGTAAAATATTTGTAACATAAAAATTGCTAAAAACAAGTAAATTGTCTATAATTTATTTTAAAACATTTTAAATGATCATATTCTTGGTCATTAGCCGATTATTAATGTCGAGCATTTCTACTAGGGTATAGAAGACTCTTATATTCAAGCACAGCTTGCTGGCTCCAATATCTACCCAAAATTTCTGAGAAAAAATTGCGAGTGGTTTCTGTAGCGAAAAATTAAGTTGACCGACATCAATGCATTGGCAGCGATAATAAAACTCGTTTAAGCCGTTGCATACACTGCAGTCAATAATAAAATGATTTTTAAGATCACTGTAAAAAATTCACAAAGACATCAACTTCTCTGGAGAGCTTTTATATTGAGTCAAATTATGCAGCTAATCTTCTAAAAATATATACCATTCGCGCGCGTTAGAAAATATTTTACAATCTCCACGCGCACTCAAACGATTTCGTCGAATATTTATAATATATTGCTGATGCGAGCGACTGGTCTTTTTGTCCGGAGCTACATGACTCGAGCTGCATCGATATATACCACACAGCTACTTTGCAAACGATTCGAAAATACATTTGTCGAATTTAATTGTCAAGCTTATAGCGCTGCGCACATGGCTCTCGCGTGTTTAGGCAGCTAATGCTAGGTTTGTTTACGACGAAGTATATGAACATTAACGTGCGGTTTGCATAATTACGCTCGTGGTGAGTAATAGTTTTTGACGAAAAGTAAGAAAAAAAGACAACCACACGTAATACTCAAAAAGTCGAGACATCATTAGTAAATCAGCCGCTGACCGCTACCGATTATTATCCGCTCCGAGACTCGAAGGAGTATAAAAAAAAATATTATGGTTCAACGTCACAGCGCCGCGCGCGCGTTTCCGTGTATTACAGATCATGAATCAATTGCTTATTAGACGTACAGCAGCAGCGGCTCCTGCTGCTGCGCACATAATGAACGCAATGTAACAAATAATTATGAAGAGTAGAAGAAAAAAATGCCACTTCGCGGATGTATAATAAAACTTGGTTTCGTCGTTCGAAAACGTCATTAAACGTCGAATACAAAATGTGTCGCAACACGACTATCGAGCGTGTGGCTCTTATGGCAGAGATGCATTTTTGAATTATGGCTTCTTCGCCGCCGCCGCCAGATTTTAATCCTACCAGTACAGGTTGAGCCTGTCTCTGACTTTGCTATAAAACGCACGCGAGCCTGGTATGATCTCTCTTTGTCCGTTTTTCTCGTGTGCGTCATGGAATATATCATCATGGGCACAAAATGAAGACATCGAGTATCGCTGAGAGCGAGCGAGCGAGTGAGAGATAGAACCTGACTCAGAACTATAATCGCAGCGATCCACATGAATAATTGATTCGTCGGATGTACGCGTGAATTTCCACGGAGGAGCTGGATTATTATTTTATGATTTGTCCGACACGCCTCGATGATACGCGCGATGTACGAGTGCAGCGACGTCGTTCGTTAGCTATCGCGTATAATGTAATTCCGAGCAAACCGCCAATAAATCCTATTTTAATCGGCATATCTGCCTCTAACGAAATGTTTGTTTTGTATGTTTACGAGCTGTATTACAACTTTGTCTCGTGAAAATGCTCAATGCCGCTAGTTGTTTAAATTTCGTATAATGCATATGAAGTGCCAACGAGAGACAGAGATATAATCTTCGAAATTACATAAAACTCGTATATTCCGAGAAAAACGTGAACGTTGATAAAGGCAATGCACTTTTATGCAACCTCGATGCTAATGCAGGTGTATGTGTTTATGCACGAGCAACACAACGCATCTCTCTTTCTCTCTGTCTCACTCTCTGGACATCTAGGAAATGGAATAGCGAATGAATTTTTTTCACTCGAAACTACTCGAGTCCACGATGCGCCTCCGTAGACAAAGTCGATGAAGTTTTTCTTTTATTTTCGTTCGCTCGTGAATGAAAAAACAAAGTTCGAAAGATGGACTGAAAAGATTGCGATCCTTGAAAGGAATATATAGACGTGAGAAAGGTGAGATATACAATCACTTTCTTGCATAGCAACTAATTAAGATACTTAACACACACACATAGACGCGCATGCCTTTACAACGCATCTTCTTCCTTACATTACACGGCTGTACATAAGAATGACGTCGTTATCCTTGTATAATTACCCGGTGAATTATGTGCTGAGAATGAAAATTTAACTCGGTAAATGTGCACATTATGTGCGGCGGCGTCGCGAAGATTTCATTAGCAGCATAGCACGGGCATTTCGTGCGTCTAGATTTCGATCAAAGGTCGAGTAAATGCAGCGAGCGTCGCGCTGCATCGCAAGAAAATTGCGTAAGGATATGATACGTGTCTATGATATACGCACGTGCGCGCGCGTGTACTTTATGTTTTTTTTTGGCTCCACGACGAAATGCCTTTAATTTGTCGTTCTGCAGTACTGGATAATCCATCATCCGTTTTTGTACACCAGAACGGATGAAAAAGACAACAACAAATAACTCGAGGTACACTGTGTAGGTACAGAGTGCGCGGTGTCAATCAACGACTCTCTCGCACGCTCCAACACGACCGAGGGAGTATAGCAATAGCCGCAAAATAAAAGTCTATAATTGCGTCAAATTGTGCGTCGGAGGCATGGTACCGCAGTGCGTTACATAGCGTGCGATACGGAGAGTACCCCCAAAGGCAAAGTAATGCCGAGGTTAAAAATTTTACCGTACTTGCACCCCCTCGAGGCTGTTTTTACACTGTAGTATACGCATCGTGCATGTTATCGTCGTACACGAGCGCGTCAAAAGTCACGACGTAACTCTTTCTCTCTCGCTCGAACTGCGTTGAGATACATGCGTACATTCGATTAATACGCGAGAATTTTCTCTCTCTCGCTCGACAGGATTTAACGCTTATGTATACATAATTATTGCATAAAAAAGGCCTTTCTCCGCTAATGCTGCTGCTGCTGCTACAGCTACAGCTACTGCTGCTACTACTGGTGCCAATTGCCACATGCTCGCAGGCCCGCGCGATTTCTGACTAGTCATTGCAACGGGGGCCTCGCTTATTCTCGCTCGCCATAAGTAAAGTAGGTATGTATAATAATATAACAAATGCTGATTCGAGAGCGAGAGTGACCGAGCTTCCTTTGTTTTATTGCTCTCCTTTATTATGCATGGCTTGTGCCATTATGTGTTTTGTACGGGCAGACATACACACGCTATATGTATAATATATCATGTAATACTGCCACACATAGGTATCTATGGAAATTGCGAGCATAATAATGCAACGCAAAGTTTTCGGCTATATGCGCACGCGAGAGTCTTTCGTATATGACTTGTGTGTGTGTATGTGCACAAAACATAACGACATCTCTATTATAGACTATTGACATGCATATATGTAGGTGAAAAGTGAGATTCGGCCGTATTATTATGTGTGCTATTGCAATGCAACTACTTGTTGTTGGGGTGGACTCTACCGCGTACCGTATATATACGAATAATAATGTGTGTAAGCGAACAAAAGCCGATAGCGCACGATAATTTGGCGCGTTTCTATTTTATAACTGCACGAGCCCCTTTGGGCGTGAAAAGAAAATCATTTTTGCCGCGCGTCGCGTATCGCACATACGTGTATAATAATAACGTAATGATACACCACTGTATGTGTAATGGTCAAAAAGCATAATTTATCATCGTGACTTTTTCTCGAAAGTTCGCTCGTGAATTTTCGTTTCGCGCTCGTTTTATGCCCAATCATCGCACCGTTCGAGCGTTGATTATTTATATATTTTTTGAAACAATGCCCCCGTACCGCACACGGGCAAGAGCGCGAATTGCATCGATTAACATGGGAAATCGGTTCGCATCGCGAGAGAGAATCGGCGCTCGAGTACATAAGTGCGCTCGCGACACCCCACTACTACCACCACACATGCAACCATAAGTTCCCTTTCGAAAAAGTTACAGAAGAGAGCAAATAATGATGAAGTAAGCGATGCTTGTTATACACACGTACCGGGCCATCGTCGCCCTCCTGCGGTGCACGTCTGTGCCGTTGATTCTCGGCCGCCGCTGGTAAAGCGTGACAATCGTTGAAAATCGCCACCACTAGCACCAGACAGCAAATAATCCTCGTTGACATTCTGCTCGTTGCGTTGTCGAACAATGAAACCTCGCGCCTCGACATCTTTGCCTTAACTGACCCGTGCTATATCGCGTCTCCTTTTTCTCTCTCCTGCGTCTCTGTCTGTCTGTCTGTCTCTCTCTCTCCTTTTCTCGCTCGTTGCGCTGCACGCAGGTAGTCTTTCTGTCTGTCTCTTTTCACGCAAGGTGGGTTTATAATGCCACGAGAAACTGCGCTCCTATGTGCCACCTATATCTCGCCGAGTGGCCGCCACTCGCGTGTGAGACACAGCTACGCAGTGGCCGCAGCAGCAGCGACGGCATATAGTAGTCATTCCTGTATTTATGTACGAGTGTGTGTGTGTGTGTGTATTATACGCACCTGTTGCGTCGTAGAGCCGCTAATGTGCGCGTGTAAACTTGTACCTGTGCTGTGTTTTTATATGTATACACTCTAGGCTCATTTATATCTCTCTGTCTCTCTTTACGCAAGCACACACATGCAGAGGTTCGCAGCGAACGCACATTCGCACGCAGATCGAGTTTTCATGTATACGAGTGTGACTCCGTTTTCTCGAAAAAAATCGAGAATTCTAGATTTTTTGTTTTACGGATACTCCACACGCCGGAGGCGCGATAATGTAAATTCGAAATAACGATCTTTCTCGCGATTTCGATGATTTCAACGACAGTCTCGGGCTTCCAGGTATTGCGCGTTGTCGGCAGGTGGCGCTCCGATTTTTTCTCTCGCACAGAATCGATACATTAATTGTACTACCGGCTGTACTGTATCGGTATAAGAATTTCGATTTTCAAGGTATACTCAGCGAGAATCTTGTTTGCAACGATTTCATGAAAAATGATTAAGAATTTACGTTACGACCTTATAATGCCTCTTCACTTAACGATCGAAAATCGAGTTTCTGCATTACCGATCTCTGGTAGCGTTGACACTGAGAACTCGGCGACACGCGCGTGTTGCATTTTATGGTATACGCGGAGCGAATATTAAATTTACGCAAACTTACTTCGCGTATCTTATCCTGTATATGATTTGTCAATTAAGCCGATAGTTCATCATGGGATTGGATTTATTTGAATTCAATCGCTCGCGAAAATATGCGCACGGCTGCTCTCGGAATCCTTTGACTGCACACGCGGGATTGGATTTGAGAGCGTTCCAAAGCACGATCACGCGAGACTGACTATTTCGTAAATTTTAAAGTTTAAAACGTTTTTTTTTTAATCGCAAAACTTGAAATAAAACCACACAAGATATCATTTTTTGCCGAAGAATGATATTGAGTTGACGCAATTACTCTGTGAAAGAGGTCAGCTAAAGTGCAGTTTGCATAGTTTAAATTCAGTATCATATGCATAGTTTACATTCAGTATTAAAAAATTAATTTTTTAACTCCGATTAATATGAGTGTTCTCTCAAAAAGATTTTGATTCGAGGTTAATTGTGATTTCATCCTTGAAATCCCATTGCATTGTAATGAATACTTGAATTGAATTTCGTTATGAATCATCTGTCAACCATGAACTTTTATATTCTATTTAACGGACAAATACTAAGAAAATTATAATTCAAAAGCAGTAAAATTCTAACAACTCTTCAAAGCTTTAATTTTTTGTTTGAATTGTAAAAAAGTAATTCTCCACAATTTTCCGGCTGTTACTGCCATCTTAGTCATTCGGTGAATTTGAAATTCAAAATGTTTGCAATGCTCGTGCAACTATTTTCTACATTGTATGGACGTTTAAACATTTTCTGTTTGGAAGGATAGAGTCATAACACATCACAATTCTGCAATTAAGACCGAACCATTCAATGATCCGCAGCGTATAGCTTCTCGTGTACAACGCCAATGCTGACACATATTTACAGGAGTTGACGACGCCCATACAAGTCCGACGCAAGAATAAACAATCCGTAATAAACTGCAGCTATATGTATGCTCGCATTTATGCTACGTGCATAGGTGTTTCTTTTGCATAACAATACGTGCGCGTAATACCGGACTAGATGATACACACATACGTCTTATGATACACGCATCGCTGCATAGTAATGGTCTTATAGCGCTAATTGTCCTGATCGCGCGAGCGTCATTGTACCGAGCATTGTACTCACCGCGTTACGATTCGACAGAATGAAATCGATAATTGAGATGCGTTTATGAAACGTTGGGCAAGCCGACAAATTATTTTCTCCATGTTTGGTTCTACCATTGATCTCTATAATCCCATCTTCCTTTTTTTCCTTTTTTTAGTTTTACTTTGTACATTGTGAACGTGTTAAAATCCATAGTAAGAATAATTATGATTGTAGTAAGAATAATCAGTATTGTAGAGTGCCATTCAGCCCGCAGTAATCTCATACTGTGCCTGAGAAAATAGGGCTGTTATTAATTTTGGATTAGTTTAGGCAGCCCCCGTAGAGGCCTTCAAAAATTGCCTTAGCCGATGGTTTTTCACATCGTCTTGGCGGGGTATTGGTAAAGTTTTCAACTAGCAATAATCGCACCTCGGTTGAACCTCATTGGTTACGATAATGCCCATGCGCAAAGATGACGAAAGCTAGAAGCCCTTCGCCTTATATGTAGTTAAATTTAATTTTTCACTTTTGGATTTCAGTTCGCCATTTAACGGTCAATTTGGAAAATATCGAGTCGACGAATGTCATTTGAATATAGCATAGAGTCTCAAGACAAAAACAAATTTTTCATAATATTTGGAAATCGTATCGATACTGAATAAACAAACAACTTATAATATGATACGGTCGTGTAATTTTTGAGGGTTGTTCAACACATGCTGAGATATAATCTGAACTTATGTATACGTATTATTGTATACATTTAATATTTAACGCTTCACACTTTATATGTATACATTGATCGAATCACTTCTTCGAACAAAATAGGGTCATAAACGTAAATTTTTTCGACGAATTAAACTGATTTTTTTCTTTCAAAAAATTTCGAGATTAAAGAAAAAGTTTTTAGAATATAAATGTCTTTGAATTGATGCCCTCAAATTGAGAAATGTCAAAGAATATGAAGAATAGAAGAGCTCGCATTAGATTTATTTTCTTTCAATTAAAATAATAAATACATTGTTCCATAAAACCAATGATGTCCTGCATTTTAGCGGGATCATGTTGCTACGCAATGTCAGATCCCAATGAAACATTTCTGCTTTCTTTTTGAGAATTGCTAAGTTTTTCAGCCTTTTATTTAAAATGTAATCATCAACAAACTTTATTTCTATTTTCTTAACTTAAAGACAAATTGTTCTCTACAAAACAACATTTCAATATTTCACTGTTAACAAATAAAAATATCGGGTTGAATATTCAAACACTATATTCTCGTACATTCAGACATTGCTTTTTCATTGCAATGGAATTTACTGAAACGCAGTATACATTGTTTTGAAAGTGGCTATGTACGACATAGAGCTTTGAAATATCTGAAAAAAACAATGATCGTTTAAGTAATTTGCATTTTATTTAAGAATAAAATTAATTCTTACACTACTGCAAGTTTCAAAAGTCATTATAAATATTGGACCAGCTTTTATTTCAAAGTTTCTCGTAGTCCCCGCTATTAATAATACTAACATACGCCTGGCTTGTGGTGGATACTTGTACCAGTTAGTAGAATAACTACACAAAATTAAAAAATTTATGTACATTTTTGAATTTTTGAAAATTCACGAATGGCTCGCTTAACTTTTGAACGAATAAATCATAACTTGCATTACTCATCAATTGACTCGGAATACACATTGTAAAGACTGTGAACTGGATTATTAAAAACGCCATGATCATTTTTAAGGCTTCAATTACTTCTTTATCTAATAAAATTACCATCTACATAGAACAAAAATCTCTATCTTATTTTAGATTTAGTTGTAAAATATTTTTATTACATTTACCCAAGTGCCAATTAAAACAAGATCAAAAGCAATGCCCATAAGTAATACAAGAAATATAGAACTCAGTAACTTCTGTGCTAATTTGTGGAGTCTAAAAGACATAAAAGTATAAATTACAAAAACTATTTTAAAATTTCCTTGGTAATGACATTCGATCCATGCTAGGTAAAATAGCTGGATTTAAAAAATAACTTGTAATTAAAACAACTCACTGTAATAAATTGTGATGGTGATGAATAATAAATTTCAATTCTGCGCAAATCCAATCTTTTTTAGTTTCTTCAATCGTAAAAACTCTGAGGTCGAACTGATAGTCAATTCTCTTCATGTAGTGTCTTAGGTTGAAATTCAATTATTAATAAGGGTATTCATATTTTATTAAGCCCGTAATAATAAATAAACACTCAATTCGTAAATATTACTCACTGCAAACAACGGATGTCGCCAATTATGAATCCTATTACGAAGCAATAATAATGACTTAACACACACATCAATAAACTGGACCAAAATGCAATAAAAATTTGAAGTATAAAAATATAATAAAAATATTCATTTTCGTCGACGAGATATGATAATTTTAATGGTAAATTTTTCTGAAATGTATATTGCTCTGGAAATATCCACGAAAGAAAAGTTTGGAAAGTGAATGGAGTTATGACGTAGCTAATGCACATTAAAATAAATGCCACTGAAAATGTACGGTAACTATCAAGTTCATATATTTAAATTTCAATATAAAAAAATGAAAACCTACCTGATTGTAAAGTACTCAAATTTAAGGCTTTATCAACTCTATGCATGATGATTTTCTGTCCTAATTTACTATTGTTTTGAAATATGTGATTCATGATTGCTAAAAATTTTAAAACCTATAATAATTTCTAATAATTAAAATTATCGAATAAAGTACTTTTATAGAAAAAAATTGATGTATTACCATATCGAAATTAGTACTTATAAAAATATAACCTTGTAGATGCCGAAAATACACTGATATCTGCAGAGCACATTCTACTACGGTGTTACTATCAACATTGTCTTTTTTGAGTTCCTGAAATAACTTAATTAGCTGAAAACAAGTTTGAAAATCGAAAGTCAATTTATAAATTAATTTTGCAGAAAAATATAGTTTAACAAACTTAGGTACGATAAAATTGTCATATCTCTTAAACAATACTTTTTAATAAATAAAAAAAAACTTAAAAAATGAATCGAATTTAGAGGATCGTATATATGTATTAAAGAAGGTAAAAAGCAATAAAGAAGATCACTAGAAAGATTTAAAAAAATAATTAGTAGTAATTTCCAAAAACATGAATTATATACTTTTTAAAGTTTACGAATTTCCGCTTGATTGATGGACAAATACTTACAGTAGAACTGAATACAGCAACTAAATATGTAATAGAAAAAATTCTTCCAACAGATTGCTCGTATTCATTCTGTGCAGGCCACAAAAAAGTTATTTGCGCTATTTTTGCAAATAACCGGAATCTATGTAATTGCAAATTTTGTATACATTTCACGGCCTCTTTCTTCTCCTCGAGAAATTCAGTATGATACATACTAAACGCCTTTTCTGAAATGAAAATTACTAACTCGAAGAAAAGTTCTGCAGAAAAAGAGCTACTTCTTAGTATAGAAAAAATATTGAGTAGATGGCACGTGATTAATCAATGCGCAAATGCGTGTGTGTTAATCAAAGTAAGAAAATTTTGGAACGTATTAAATCATTGAAATAATATTTATGTGTAGTTTCGTTAGTGTTGTATACAAAACTACCACTTCAATATAACACCTAAGGTAATATTACTGCGTATTATATTAGAAGTTCTATTGAAGCTGAGTTAAAAAACTGTTTTGAATAAAATTTATTATCAAAACAGTAGAAAGTAAGTGGAAGCACATAAAAATGTTTTAAACATGAAACTAAAATTCTAAACAAAAGGTAGAATCAATAGTTAATTAAAAAAATATTGTAATTCAGAGCATCGTGAGGCTTAAGTTTTTTGTAGCTCAATATATATTAAAAACTTTATAGCTAGCACTAGTAACAGTCAGGCACGCTTCGCGCGCATACATTTTTCAGTAGGGTTTTAAAAAAGTTACTATTTTGACCATAGGTGTCACTTTATTGCATTTCGTCTGGAGGCTAAAGTAACTCGACCAATCACAGGCCGTATAGATTGGCTTCACTTTCAGGTCCATCATTATTTTAAGTCAGGATTGATGATTGAATTGATCGAATCACTTCTTCGAACAAAATAGGGTCATAAACGTAAATTTTTTCGACGAATTAAACTGATTTTTTTCTTTCAAAAAATTTCGAGATTAAAGAAAAAGTTTTTAGAATATAAATGTCTTTGAATTGATGCCCTCAAATTGAGAAATGTCAAAGAATATGAAGAATAGAAGAGCTCGCATTAGATTTATTTTCTTTCAATTAAAATAATAAATACATTGTTCCATAAAACCAATGATGTCCTGCATTTTAGCGGGATCATGTTGCTACGCAATGTCAGATCCCAATGAAACATTTCTGCGTTCTTTTTGAGAATTGCTAAGTTTTTCAGCCTTTTATTTAAAATGTAATCATCAACAAACTTTATTTCTATTTTCTTAACTTAAAGACAAATTGTTCTCTACAAAACAACATTTCAATATTTCACTGTTAACAAATAAAAATATCGGGTTGAATATTCAAACACTATATTCTCGTACATTCAGACATTGCTTTTTCATTGCAATGGAATTTACTGAAACGCAGTATACATTGTTTTGAAAGTGGCTATGTACGACATAGAGCTTTGAAATATCTGAAAAAAACAATGATCGTTTAAGTAATTTGCATTTTATTTAAGAATAAAATTAATTCTTACACTACTGCAAGTTTCAAAAGTCATTATAAATATTGGACCAGCTTTTATTTCAAAGTTTCTCGTAGTCCCCGCTATTAATAATACTAACATACGCCTGGCTTGTGGTGGATACTTGTACCAGTTAGTAGAATAACTACACAAAATTAAAAAATTTATGTACATTTTTGAATTTTTGAAAATTCACGAATGGCTCGCTTAACTTTTGAACGAATAAATCATAACTTGCATTACTCATCAATTGACTCGGAATACACATTGTAAAGACTGTGAACTGGATTATTAAAAACGCCATGATCATTTTTAAGGCTTCAATTACTTCTTTATCTAATAAAATTACCATCTACATAGAACAAAAATCTCTATCTTATTTTAGATTTAGTTGTAAAATATTTTTATTACATTTACCCAAGTGCCAATTAAAACAAGATCAAAAGCAATGCCCATAAGTAATACAAGAAATATAGAACTCAGTAACTTCTGTGCTAATTTGTGGAGTCTAAAAGACATAAAAGTATAAATTACAAAAACTATTTTAAAATTTCCTTGGTAATGACATTCGATCCATGCTAGGTGAAATAGCTGGATTTAAAAAATAACTTGTAATTAAAACAACTCACTGTAATAAATTGTGATGATGATGAATAATAAATTTTAATTCTGAGCAAATCCAATCTTTTTTAGTTTCTTCAATCGTAAAAACTCTGAGGTCGAACTGATAGTCAATTCTCTTCATGTAGTGTCTTAGGTTGAAATTCAATTATTAATAAGGGTAATCATATTTTATTAAGCCCGTAATAATAAATAAACACTCAATTCGTAAATATTACTCACTGCAAACAACGGATGTCGCCAATTATGAATCCTATTACGAAGCAATAATAATGATTTAACACACACATCAATAAACTGGACCAAAATGCAATAAAAATTTGAAGTATAAAAATATGATAAAAATATTTATTTTCGTCGACGAGATATGATAATTTTAATGGTAAATTTTTCTGTAACGTATATTGTTCTGGAAATATCCACGAAAGAAAACTTTGGAAAGCTAGTGGAGTTATGACGTAGCTAATACACATTAAAATAAATGCCACTGAAAATGTACGGTAACTATCAAGTTCATATATTTAAATTTCAATACAAAAAAATGAAAACCTACCTGATTGTAAAGTACTCAAATTTAAGGCTTTATCAACTCTACGTATGATGATTTTCTGTCCTAATTCACTATTGTTTTGAAATATGTGGTTCATAATTGCTAAACATTTTAAAACCTATAATAATTTTTACCAATTAAAATTATCGAATAAAGTACTTTTATGGGAAAAAATTGATGTATTACCTTATCGAAATTAATACTTATAAAAATATAACCTTGTAGCTGCCGAAAATTTAATGATATCTGCAGAGCACATTCTACTACGGTGTTACTATCAACATTATCTTTTTTGAGTTCCTGAAATAACTTAATTAGCTGGAAACAAGTTTTAAAATCGAAAGTCAATTTATAAATTAATTTGGCAGAATATTTCTTAAACAATGGTTTTTAATAAATTAAAAAAAAAGATTAAAAAATGAATCGAATTTAGAGCATGTTACATGTGTTAAACTAAGGTACGATACAATTGTCATTTTTCTTAAACAATGGTTTTTAATAAATTAGAAAAAAGATTAAAAAATGAATCGAATTCAGAGGATCGTATATATGTATTAAAGAAGGTAAAAAGCAATAAAGAAGATCACTAGAAAGATTTAAAAAAATAATTAGTAGTAATTTCCAAAAACATGAATTATATACTTTTTTAAGTTTAAGAATTTTCGCTTGATTAATGACAAATACTTACAGTAGAACTGAATACAGCAACTAAATATGTAATAGAAAAAATTCTTCCAACAGATTGCTTGTATTCATTATGGGCAGGCCACAAAAAAGTTATTTGCGCTATTTTTGCAAATAATCGGAATCGATGTAATTGTAAATTTTGTATACATTTCATGGCCTCTTTCTTCTCCTCGAGAAATTCAGTATGATACATACTAAAAGCCTTTTCTGAAATGAAAATTACTAACTCGAAGAAAAGTTCTACAGAAAAAGAGCTACTTCTTATTATAGAAAAAATATTGAGTAGATGGTATGTGATTAATCAATGCGCAAATGCGTGTGTGTTAATCAAAGTAAGAAAATTTTGGAACGTGTTAAATCATTGAAATAATTTATGTGTAGTTCCGTTAGAGTAGTATACAAAACTACCACTTCAATATAACACCTAAGGTAATATTACTGCGTATTACATTAAAAGTTCTATCGAAGCTGAGTTAAAAAAACTGGTTTGAATAAAATTTATTATCAAAACAATAGAAAGTAAGTAGAAGCACATCAAATATTTTAAACATGAAACTGAAATTTTAACCAAAAGGTAAAATCAATAGTTAACTTAAAAAATATTGTAATTTAGAGCATCGTGAAATTCTTAACAAAAGGTAGAATCAATACTTAACTAAAAAATATTGTAATTCAGAGCATCGTGAGACTTAAGTTTCTTGTAGCGTAATATATATTAATAACCTTTATAGCTAGCATAATATACTAAAGACACGTGTGTTTGCTCTACGATTCTATTTTTTCTCAAGTTTAACTCTTTGAGACTTAATTTTTTTCCAATTTAATTTTATTAATTTTTCTTTCAATTTATTAGTATGTTCTTTTTATAGGCCGAGAAAAAAGCTTACTCGCTCATATAATCATAAACATGCAGTTTAAGAAAAACCCTTGCCTGAAAACGGCCTGCGAATTCATAATTAGCAACCCAAAATTGTAGTCGCCAAGACAGAGCCCTTTTTGGTGTGTCTACGTTATTGATTTACTACAATGTTGAGTGTGCTAATAACAGTCTGATGTTGTTTTTGAAAGACGAAATTTCCAAATCGTGAATATTGACAATATATCGTGGACACGTGTTAACAATCGCGTACGTACGATAGGTATACGGGATATCGAGTGCAGCAGCTGCCTGTGTAAACAAATTTTTGCCAAATCTTCCCATCTAGTGCACTTTTTAAACGGTACCTTTATAACGCTAAACTTCACACACACACACACACACACACACACATACACAGCCGAGTATACCGGAGCGATTCGTATCGATTCACGAGCGTATTTTATTGCCATTTTGTATCTTTATTTCCCTATTGTTTTGCCATATCGATGGGCTTTCCTCGAAACATTTGCAGCAATGCTCGATCGCGAAGAGAAAAGGAGAGCAGCAGCAACAGCAGCAGTTCGAGTCATTATCTGCGGACCTGACTCGTTAATCAATTTTATGCGCACGGCATCTCTCGGCCGTTACCAGAAAACCGTTGAAAAGCTTATAGAACAATGTATTGCGTGGTGTTTTTCGAATACCGAATTAACTTATATTATTATCGGGTTACGTGCACGCATACACATAGATATTTAATGATATATGCCACGGCCCGGAGCGTATTACGACTAATTAAATGTCGTTTTTCGAGAGCAATCGAACTATCTCGCGCATAAATGCGAAGAATTTTTACGACTTATGGTTCTCATTTTAACGTGCCCGGCGTAGAGATACCAATATAGAGACGGGGAAAATTACTTTCTATACAATATTAGGCCTGACCGTGTAGCTACGATCCGCGCGGTGCACCGAGGAAAAGAAAGAGGCATTGTTGCCGGGTTGTATATCGCGGCTCTTGGCCCGGCGATATCGACTCGAGCTTTTAAAACGTTCGTACAGCTTGATTTGATAAAAAAAAACCATTGCACACTCTCGAACGGAATTTCTTCGGGACGGATTTTTTTCCACCGTTTAGAGCACAAACCCTCCCCGTGCGCGTTTGTCTTAATGCATATATACACATTATCTGATCCTTGAATAGACATTTTCAATCGAACTCTCGGCTCTCTTTCTCCATTGACAGGATATTTTTTGCGCTGCAACTCGAGCTCTTGTAAATGCGCCTCTTTTGCAAATGAGTTTATCAAATCATGTTACATAAATGAAAACCGATCTCGCGTGTGTACGTATATAGACGAACTGTTTATGTATCAAAGAATCCGCGACGGGCTTATCTCGATGGCAAATGGGAAAGTTTTCTTCTCGTTTTTTCTCTCTCTCTCTCTCTCTCTCTCTTTCTTTTACATCTCCATATGGCGCCCTTCACTCCCGCGATCGTCAACCAGGTTTTAAAAAAATATATCCGCGCGCCCGATCGCGTTCGAGAAAATCAAACGAATGTGGACTCCCACACGTATACGAAGAGCCGTTATTCAGCTTCCTCATTACGATAATGCATCCGAGATGGATATCGGGGAATTCAAGTATGTCGATTCAGGTGCACAGCGGTGCACGTCGGCATCGATCGACGTATAAGACGTGTGGCCAAAAACAATGCGAATTCATAAAATGTATATAAACTTGAGCTCGCGTGCTTTATTACGTATCGATCCTCGACGCAATATAATACGACTCAAGGCAGTAATTTTTCCATCGTTCGATACATCTGGACAGCGCAGTATGTGTACGACGTCCTTCGAGTCTCTCTTTCTTTCTTTATACACCGCAGCTGTGTGATGATGCATCCGCGAGCGGCCGATTTACTTTCTTTTAAATTTATATAAGAAAAGTCATGGTATATAATCCGTCGCACGCGATGGATTCTGTTTTCGTTTATATATATTATATATACATGTAATATGCACTATTATCGCTCGACGGTTATCACATGCCTATACAGTCAGGTATTAGACGGTAATTTTCGTGAGACCCGACGTTCGTCGGTGTGCGCCGGTTGCGCAATCCTTATCCAATTTCTTCGATACATCGCAGCGCGGCTGCCGGCCCCAAAATTGCAATATATATTGTATATACACAGTATAATAATAATATAAATATAAATCAGAGAGAGATAAATACAGCCGCAGTGCGAGAAAACTGTTCGTTTGTATCTAAGCCTCTGAGTTAGTGTTGTGTGTGTGTGTATTTGTGCGGGTGGGATGCGGTTAATTTAATACATTTATTAAATAACGCGCTTAATCGAATTATTTCTTAAACTTATTGTCTGGTGGTAGCTTGGAATCGGATACTGCTGGGGGGTTACGCGCGGATACACCTATGATTACGCGATTAAATTACAATAATATTTATCCTTCGGTACCCGCACAATAAGTTACGTTCGAAAACGTGGAACGTGTATAGAAATTGAACATTTAACCAGATAAATGATGCTCCGCTAAAATCTGATGTATTTATAATCACATTGTAATGTGGACCATCGATGCCGTTTAGTTATTGAATAAAACCTAACTTAACTCTAGTAGGAAGACTCAACATTAATAATGGTTTCATGTTTATAAATGACCCTTCAAAATGTTTAGAATAAATAACCATTCAATGGCTTGTTTTTGGCGAATTTTCCGTCACAATTATGTCACGAATGTTAAGGGGGGAAAGGTACCTAAAATCTCAAAAAAAAAAATTTTGTTTTATTGACTTTTTTCATAGGATTTTTCCTCAGCTTTCCAGTGCTGTGATCGGAATTTAAAAATTTTAACTGTACCGTGATGTACAGCCTATTCAGTACCGATACTTTTACGATTGTTTAAAAATATATCGTTTCCATTCTCTCATGAATCTCGAGACTTTGATGAGTCGGTAGCGCCGTCTATTGATACTCATTTCATTCTTCATCTAGCAGAAATTTGTTTGTTTACATGGCTATAGGTGTACAGTAACGCCACCACTCGCTGCACGTGGGTTTCGGCATATCTTATGTCTCTCTCTGTTTCGTGCGCGAGCCCTGATCAAATGTCAATAACAGTCTGCTGACTGCATCTTGATTTTCCAATGGCTAAAAATTACATTTTTTTGAAAGTGAAAAAAGTACATGTACAGTGAAGTTATATCTTTGCAACTTGACATAGTGATTTATAATAAAGCTATGAAGATGCTTCAATAGCTTGTTATAAAAATGTTACATTTTTAGCAGTTCAAATTCAAGAAATACAGCAGTACATATGTAAATTGACATATATACATCAGTGTACATGTATGTCACTGTACTTTATGTATGTGTATATAACTGTATCATGTATATTATTGTATGTTGCATGTGATAACCAAGATTAGTGATAATTGATCAATTTTGAGTGATTTTATTTCCAACTATAGATCCAATGATTGTTGTTTTATGAATGTGAGTGAATATAGGTAGAGGGCTGAGTTCAAGTTCTAATGTGAGATTGTGTATATTAGTGTGAAAAGTTGATTTGGACATAATCAACTTAGTTACCAGTTTCCACATAAAACCCATATTAGCGTATGCTAACATTTTAGTAAAACTTATAATTTGGCTTTGTGTGTCTGTCTGGGATTATTGAACATTGTCCTTGTGGGTCTAATATGTTGAAATTTCAAGTTGAATTACTGTTTTTTATTGTCCAAAAAGTTTAAAGCAGCCTCAGTGACATGAGAGTATCATTATGACATATATTGATGTATTTTGGTTTTTTTCAACTCTTGGGCAGGAACGTTTTATCTCAAAATTGCTTTGTTGCCGTAACTTTCCATGTAAACCGTTTGAGCAAATGAGCTGAAATTTTCAGGGATTGTTCTACATGAGAATGGCTACAAACGCAAGCACTTTCAAAGGTATTGGGACAAATGAGCACTTTTTTCAGGCTATGATGTAGCATAATCTGTCATTTTATCATATATATTAATGAATAAATGTATATATGTGGCTGGCAAATTGTGTATAACTAATTAAAAAATCTGAAAGTGCTTGCGTTTGTAACCACACATCTAATGATCAAAATGAGACCCCAAGGACCATGATTGAACCATCGGTTCTAGCTGGATCCTACGGCACAGGGGTACCTGTCAGGACTGTGGGCTTGCTTCATCGAGGAGGGTTCTATGGTGACTGGGACCTCAATTTTTATATTCCAGAGTGAAAAACTTTGAAAAAAGAGTGAAGAAAACAGAGTTTTCTTTGTATATTCCAAAAAAAAATTTTTTCTTCATTTTTAATAAATTTTTTATAAATGTAGGTTTAAGGTACCTTTCCCCCCTTAAGCACGTTTTAAACGACTCAAAAATGACGGTTAAATTGTTTCAAAAATTTTAGACTAGTTTTTAACCACTTTGAAACTTTACCACTAGATGGCGAGTACCTTTACCCGAAAATCTGCAAGTGGCAAAGTAAAAGTAATATTTTAAGTCAACAAAATTTTCATTGACTTTCGTTGACGAAGTTCAATTTAATCGAAGCACCTATAGATTACGCTCAATGCTCATCCATTACCCGCACAGACCCCCTTCCGCAAATTTTTCTCAATACACGCGACGATCTTTCGCGTCGCGCTCATTATATTACACGTGTGGAGCCAAAATTCTCAGTGTGCTGGGGAATTTAATTGCAACTTTATGCTGCAGCCGCTTCCTGGTGCAACGAACTCATTGATCCTGAGTTCTAATACAACGCACGCGCGTCCTCCTATATACAGCGATTATTAAGCGCATAAAATGAATGGCTGTCTCGTCGGCGAGCTATTCGATTATAATCTATCGCGCGTTTACACGTTGACTTACAACGTGTGCTATATCATTCCTCGGCGGAGGAGCGAAGAGGATAAATTCGAAGTCATACATTACTCAATTCGTGTGTGCAGTGGGTACTCCAACTGCTGTGCACTCTCGCTGTCTGGCAAAAGTCCCATTTCGACACCAGCGGAATAGTTCAATTTTGCAGCTATACCATAGCTATCGAGTAATCGCACGCGTAATCGTATAGAGAAAGAGAGAAAAAGAGGATGTTATAATATGTGCGAGCTATAAGGCTTTTTCTTTAATGAGTTATGCAGGTATATATACTATACATACTGGTCGATTGGATAAGTTAATCGAGCGACCCATAACACGACTTACCTGTATTTCTCCTCGCGTGCTTTCCGCGTGTCTGTATATATGCGGGGTCTATCCCAGAAGTACATGTAAACCCCGCCGCGTACGTATAGTGTCAAAAAAGGATGTTCGAGACAAGTTAATTAGTCGCTCGAGCTCAAAAGCTACTACCACTACTAGATACGTAGATGGAATTTCTACCGTCACTCCTCCTCCCCTTCTGGGTATAAAGCGTAATAATGATAAATACGCGCGAGTTTAATTGCGAGGTGCGTTGAGAGAGATACACTTTAAGCGATTTATATACGTGTGCCAATAACGATCGACGATCGTTTATTGATAAAAAGGAAAAACCCTGCATTATATGCTTTTAAAACGCGATCGTGTCTAGGCTCTGGCTACGAATTAGCCGCTCTCGACGCGGACTGATTGAGTTTAATCGATCGAGCGCGTCGATGAGTGATTTCTCTACGCGTTGTGTGTGTGCATCGCGTCGATATACAAGCCATTATGCGGCTTGATTTTGCACGTGCAAAAGCGACTACTTATACTCGCGTGCGCGCGCGCGCGTAATTTGAATGAGTACACGGCTTTTATTAATATAAACGATATCGACTATGTTTCATAACGTGATTATCGTGGCACGAAATGAGCTACTACTACCACTACTACACGCATAAAAGGATTAGACGGCTTTTTTTTGCAGGCAGATCGGTACTAGTGTACGGGATATACATACGCGTATGACCGGTAATGGGTGTAGACAAGGATAATGGCCGACTGCTGCGCGTCGATAATGTTTTCATTTTTTAGCCGAGCCGCTGACGCGAATGCGCAACGTTGATTTTTCGAGGTATCTGGAAGAAAAATCGCGCGCGTTTGCGTGATCAATTATTTTTTCCGTAGTAGTGCGGCTTCGACGCGACGACCTAATTGATTTGACGAAAGTAGCTCGCGCGCCACCACCACTGAGTCATGCACCTGCAATCGAACGGATACTCACCTTATCTCCTTCTTTTTTTCTCCACTCTCTCAGTCGTGTCAGAGCTGCTGCCGCTGCTGCTGACATAACGCATCCGGATTAGTTATGTTTACCGAGGAAACACGGGATTACGAGGATTGACGAACGGTTGACACGAAACATTCGTTTTTACTTTAAAATAGAGTATATTTAATATAAAAAAATTATTATCGTATAATATACAGATGAATAAAAGAATAGTCACTTGATACAGTAATAAATGTTTGACTCGAAAAGTACATGTTCGATATCGCAAAATACTTAACAACGTATTAGTATTCAAGTTTTTTTTAAATACTCGTTTGTTTACAATTCCATTACTGAGTGTTCTCAGCTTGAGGCATCTAAAGGCACATAGAATTAATATTAAGTACATAAAAAATTACAATACATATGTTTTTTAATACGCTTTTGACACATTTTAAACAGCCAATTACTTTATGGCATCCAAATTATTTCTAATTGATTCAAAAAATTCATCAATTTCATCGTCTGTCGTGGACTTAAACCTGTCAGCATACAGCAATCTTTGCTTTAATTTAGTGTTTTTTCAATGAATTTCGAAAACTTTTGCGTGTATGTGCGTGTGTCGCATAGAGCGCAATCTTACGGAATTTCGTAAGACACCCTTACGCGCATTTATATTCCTATACACATTATTTATAAGCTAAGCACTTGGATGGAAAAGGTTTACAAAATAATAATGATAAAAAAAAGTATAAGAGTCTACCCTAGGACGTATACAAGTTGGTAGTATGCTCGGTAGAGGTATATTTTAGCATCTAATCTCTAAATGATTGCAAAATAATAATACGCTTCTTACGTGACTATACACCTTAGGAGAAGAAAAAAAAATCCGGTAACGTTACAGCTCTCTGATATACATGGAATGTTATACATAAGTGCAATTATAATACAAGGTGTGAAATGTACATGTGTATGTATATATGTTTTATATACGTTTATGAGTTATTTGTCCAAGCGACATAAACTTTATATAATATATATATACGGTGTATATATGAAAGAGGTTGCGCAGCATCAACAGCGACGGCGGCGATCCTCTTGGCAGTCATGATGCGGAAAATGCAGTTACAGCGAGCGTATAATATGTTTTCGCTTTTACGACAATTTCATGATTTACCAATATCTCTGTCTCTCCGTGTTCCGTGCATTTATACCTGCGTTTGCTTTTTTTTTTAATCAAGTCGAGCTTATTATATGCTACGTCAAGGATTCTTTGAGTGTGTATCGACAAATACACGCAGAAGCGATGATTTATAAAATTTTACCCCACAAGCATCGCGTAAAGTTTACGGTGTAATTAAAGGACGCGGCACGCGAGCTCAAGAATTTTCATATAGTATGGACTCTGGAGAGAGAAAGACAAGAGATTGAAAAAGAAAGAGAAAAGTACGCGAGTGCGTTCGTATGTGCAAGCGTCGTTTAATAAGTTGTAAATATATTATTATTCCCAGCGTCCCTCGTAAAAAAACATGCATAAAGTCGCGACGCGCAAAAGTAATCCTTTCACGGGTTCGCGCGGTACAGTGTGTAACCGTCATTATAATATACGTACTTGCCTCGCGAGTGCACCGGCCAGCGTTACGAAAGAGATGAGACATGACGATTTTTGACGAATTATGTACCGATCGCTTGGTAGCGTATTACAAATTTGTCCGAAAGTTAAAACGCGGATGGAGAGGCGTCGTTACAGCTGGCGCATGTCTTGCGCGACCCGACCGCACCACGCTTGAAAGTCATGTCGACCCCTTATGTTCTTTTCTCCACCGTTTGAGCCGTGTATGAGCGATTGAGCAAACGCTAATTTATTGAATATTATTGCCCACGTGGTGGGGTAATCTACATATTATATAGCGGAGCAATTATAATATTACTGTACGCGGAATAAATGATCTTAAAACGTTTCGCGCGCTCATACATGATATGCAACACTTAAAGTGCACACACATGCACAAGCTTATGGACGCATGTGTGTATGAATTTTGAAATTAATATTCACTCTCGAGCTCTCTCGTGCGATTATTATTGTAATGCGAAATCTTGCTCGGCTCCAATTTAGACATCATCTTTTGTCCGATATGTTAACCGGGGGGGATTACCTAAACTCGAGCTCTGCACGCGCGCAAGCTCGTTTAGTGCGCTATACGACGCCGATTTTACGTTCGAGGAGTTTTATGAAAAGCAAAAAAAAAAAAAAAAAATAAACGATCAAAGAAATGATGTATCTTGCGAAATTTTATTTTTTCTTTTTTCATAGGAATTCGAGATCAGCTACAAGTTTGTTTCGGTGCGGTGAGTTTCGATTGAAATCGACTTATTCAGCTTTGTGCATTCGCGTGTGTATGTAGTTTATAAACTGCCAACGCAAGTAAAAAAAAAATCTTCATCCGCGTGAAAATTTTCTCAATTAGAGTACACGCGCCGCACACGTCTCTGTGATATAAGTCCCCGTATTGATCTGCAAGTCGCCGCTGCAACTACATCTAGCCGCGCGTATATAAGGAGATTTCGTTCGAGAAACTACATTTTTCGCGTATAAAAAGTCGTATGCGATCGTTACGGTCTGCATTAATCTCCAAGTACTTTGAATTTGTCAATCGAACGTTTATCGTGGAAATTCGTCTTCATTATCGAGGGGCCATTTATGTATTAATTTTTTTGTTTTTACTCGTTTTCGGGGCGGCAAATGTATTTCTTACTCTTTCTCGGAATCTCTCGTAATCAACGAAAGAAAGAGAGAGTAAAAAATCGAAACTCAAGCCCTCGAGTAATGCGCGTTTACATAATTATGTACAATCCTGGGTCTATGTACGCGCACGCCGCGTTCATCAAGGGTCTCTGGTGCGCCATTCAATTGCGAATGATAAATGCCGTGGAGGACAATGACAACGACGAAGCGGCCGCCAGATCGCCGTCGATCTCGTTACCGGTCAATTCCTCCTCGCGCGCCGCCTGGTTTTTCCGCGCCTGTGCGTACTTGCTCTTGTAGTCGTCGTTGCTGCTGGCTTCGTCGCTAACGACGTGGATTATACCGAACCAGTTGGGTAAGGTGAAGGGATTCTCGCCCTCGTCGATGCTCTCGTGCACCGCGTAATTATGATAGTTGTTGTTGTTATTGTTGTTATTATTATTGTGCCGCGATTCGACCTTGATATTAGTCGGCACGGACGACGATTCCGCTGCAGTGCTAGACGGCAACGTAGTCGTTGTCGTCGTCGTCGTAGTCGTCGTTGTCGTGGTCGCTGCAGGCTCGACTATGGGCCGCTGGCTCGTGGCTGACGACAGCTCCGTGGGAACTGGGCGAATTGCTGAAACACATACACTCACGTGATGTTGTATACACAGCGCAATATGTTTATTTAATATACGTATACGAACACGGCGGCGAGCGTCGATGTCCTACATGTGCCTACGGGGGTAAAATTCAAAGTCTCTCGACGCCGAGTGAATGAAGCGACGCCGCGTGAAATGCGCGTTTTAATAAGGATTTATTCGCCGCGTCGATTGAAAAAAAAGAAGCGAAACTTTGCCATCGATAAATTAAGCTTCGCGAATTCCCTGTACACACTGTATTATATACACACACACACGTTTCAGCGCGCGTGACACTTCTCAATTAACCGTGGTTATATGTAAATATCGTCGAGAAAAAAAAGAAAAGTGTATCGAACGTCGATCGTCGCGTAATTGATATCGGCGTTGCGCGCATTATTATTAAACGATTACACATATATAAGCTTTGCGCATTACGTTCGAATTAATTTTCGTGAATAATTCATAATCCATATCGGTTAATAATAATGTATAAAAAATAAAAAAGGAGCCACACCGGGTAATGAGTTCTGTAATAATACTATATCAAGCAGCAGCACAGGTTTCGAACAATGGCAGACGGATTATTACACTTTATAAATCAATCGCGCACCCGCACGAAACTCGCGCGAATAACGTATACGTGCCAGCCGAGCCGATGTAATAATACGAGCCGCGCGCGAGATTTTTATCAAAAATCGTTCAAAGAATAATAATACACATAAATACTTATGAAACATATTGTATTATTATATGGCTCTGCGCTTCAACTATTTAGAGGGACGCGATGATTATCGTTCATCGCGCATTAAGGACTCATAAGCCCCGCCGTACATCTGAATATCTAAATCTAAAACAAATAAATTATCGCTCGCCTAAACGCGCGCGCTGCAGCTCCTTAAAGAGCTGCTTCTCCTACATATATAATGCTGGGGCTCGTAAAAACAATCGCATTGTAATAGGGCCGATATCTTCATCTCGGCTCTCGAGATCTTTACAAGCTCGCTGCGCACTCGTATGAGAGGTATATAAGTTTAAGTGCGCATGCACGGCACAAACGCGCGGCTCATGCTTATCTCATCGCGCGCAAAGATTCCAAATTGCAACGAAGACTCGTTTGGTGAAACAAAAAGCCATTCATGCCGAAATCTCTGACGTTCCATCAACGATCGTTATAGCTCGCGCCGCCGATACTTCGACACGCCAGGCGCTCGCAGACACTTCTTGCGTGGGTGTAAATAAAAATTTTATCGCGAAATCAGGCGAACGAAACGAACCCATCCCATTACCGAAGAACTCGAGAGACAATAATACGCGCGCGCGTGAAAGTTATAAACCGCGCACGCGGGTCGGAACAAAAGAACAAGTGACCCACATGATTGGAAGGTCAAATATATAATGATAATTATTGCGAATCGTAGCTCGAGTCGCTCACCTTGCTGCTGCTGCTGCTGCGGACTCAGCGAAAAGCTCAGCGGCTTCTTGGGATCGTAGTACTGATAGACGTGTCCGTCGCCGTGACCCTGATGGCCGTTGAAGCGTCTCGGGTTCGCCGGACGACTGACCCAACTGTCCACGGCGCTGAAGCTCAGCGGGTCGCGATGATAGCGATGCGGGCCGCGGGCGTCCGCCTCGAGGATCCGCTGCTGGCTGCGCTTGTTCGCCCGGATCATCTGCTCGAAGCGACGGCGTCGCAACTGGTCCTGATAGCGGCGCTGCAGATTTCGCTGGCGTTTGAGCTCGGCTCGGTAGCGCGCAAGCTCGAGCGGCACCACGGCGACGACGGAGCTTTCGCTGCTGCTGCTGCTGCTGGTACTGGGACTTGTAGTTGTGGTGGTAGTAACGTCGTCGGTGGATGATGCACGATCGTTGTTATTGGTAGCCGCCGCCTCGACGTCGTAACGGTAACGATTTTTCAAGAGTTTCGTCACTGCTTGCAGAGTCGACACCGGAATCTGTAGGGGATGCGAGACATCTCGATAAAAAATTTGATGATCGTTTGAATAATGTATATTACCCATGAATAAAAGCTCAATATTTTATATTATACGTGAGTTAAGAAAAATAATGAAAATTAATGAAATAGAGTTTCTATTAGGCGGCCGTAACGTACGCAAAAACGTGTTTGCGCACCACAAGACAATAATATTATGGGTTATCTTGAGATAAAGAAAATGTAAATATGAAATACTAATTAAATATTGAGATACTTTGACTTATAGAATTTGCTTAGTAAAATTGATACTTTGACTTATAGAATTAATTTTACTTTCCCACTTGCATATTCATAGATAAAGCTGTTCGCCATCTAGTGGCTGGGGCTTAAATGAGATTTTTCATGGCCGGTGTCTTGAAACCGTGCTTCAACTTATACAATTATTTTGACTTTGACACTTGCTGATTAATAGATAAAGATATTCGCCATCTAGTAGTGGAGAATGGAAGTAGTCTAATTGAGTGGTTAAAGCTGGTCTAACTTTTTTGGAACAATTAAATTGTTATTGTCACTATCGGGTGATTTAAAATACGGTTAATATTTTAAACGTAATTGCAAAGGAAAATTATCAAAAACAAGCCAAATAATGATAATATATTTTATGAAGTTTAAATGGTAATTTTTCGGTCATCAAGGCATGCTCAGTATTTTTCTACCAAGTACAGAGTAATTGCTTGGTAAATAATTTTTAATCGTTTTCTAATAATTTTTTTCCTTTTACCACGCGAACTTGTGCGATGAACATTGAGATACATACATTATATATAAAAAGCAAGAAAGAAAAAAAAACGCATGAATGATGAGAATCCCACAAAGCTCCCAACATAATAGAGTTATTTAAGCCCTCTCTACTATGACTCCGGCAATACAATACGCTCATTATCATATTTATATTATTATAATATGTATAATAAAATATGCCACGCGCGCGTCTAAAAGCGTATACTAAGATAAAAAAAAATGCAATAGATAGAGAGAAAATATTTATATACACACATGCATACATCGTCAATTTTTCGCATATTACATGTTTCTATTGTCTACAACGATTCAATAGACAATATAAACTCTCGATGTGTGTGTGTGTGTGTTATATGTAGACGTGGTGGCAATGCATCGCGGGTTCATACAAACTTTTTCAAAACTAATATTCAGTGATTCACGCTAATTGCCTTGAGTCGCGCGCGAGCGTAATATGTATACTATTAATAGCAAAATTCACAATCTATTTTTTCCGTCTATCTCTCTCTATTTCTCTCTCGGCGCGCGATGTGTATTAATAGGTGACTCAATATTCATTTATATTTAATAATCAATAACATGTCGGCGAAAATATTATAAAGCCCGGGTAATAAAATAGCCCGTGGTACCGATAGAAAGTTAATAAAACGACGCGTGCAACACACTGCAGTGCAGATACGTCCATACACGTGGTAGCCGCACATACAAGGTATATTAATATCGATACACGTATATACGTACAACGCATGCTAGCAACGGTCGCGGTATTATATACACAGCCGCGGCGGAAAAATAATTAACTTGTAAACCTTAAAGGTGAACCGTGCGCGCGAGCGGCCTTACGATGTGTACGACGTATCGTTTTGTGCACCCAGCAGCAGCAGAACAAGCCTAGGCCACGTCTCGACGTTGTGTATACGCTGTGTATCAATTATTATTTCGAAAACGGACACGCACCGGAAAATTTGTTCTGCCCGGGCTGTATATACGACGATTGATATAATAATCCATAAATATTGACTCGTAACAAAAGCTTCGACGCGTACATATACGATATACGCGTAGACCAGTGGCATGGACGACGTAATGCTGCATATACACTCGGTGATGTGTGTATGTGTATACGTTTTTGTATTATATGCAGCGCGTAATATAATATACGTCGCTCGTGGTGATTTATAAGGGGCTCTCTAGATTTTTTGCATGAGAAAAAAAATCTCGCTTGTTTTCAATTATAACCATCCGCCAATAATGTCGTTCACGTAAGTCGACTCTATTTCCTTTTACTTCCTCAAACTTCGTGGACACGGTGTCCTATGTGTGCACGTAATACATTCGTTGACGAGTGAGAAACAAATTCGATCGTTAAAAGTAAAATTTTCGAAAACCTTTCTTGGACTTATAACATATTTTTACTTTGCCACTTTTGGATTTACAGAAATGAAGCTACTCGCCATCTGGTGGCGGAAAGTTCTACTATTACATTTAAGGTGTTTAAAAACTGGTCTAAAATTTGATACACTTAAGCTTTTATTTTCAGGACATTTTAAATTTACTTAGTATTCTTAACATAATTTTAACAGAAAAATTGACAAAAACGAGCCAATTGACAATATATTTAAAAACATTTAGCCATTATTAATGTTGAATGTTTCTTAAACTTCGAGATTAGGCGATTAACTTCATTTTATTTTTGCTGTTAATGATTAATGAAACATTCCATATTGTTGAAACACTTACATTGAATATATCGTCGAAAATTGAGAAGCTCTCATCTTGATAGCGCTTCCCTCGCAGTGGCTCCTTATCCTGCGGAATATAACAAAAGCGTTGAATTAGATTTCAAGTCGATTGTGCATAAGCAGATATACGAGCATTCAGCATATGTATACATTTCGAAAACATTCTTCGGAATGCATTTTCATTTCGAATCGTAAAAATATAACGTTCGGAAAATTATACCACAGTACGTAGAGCATAATTTGAAGCGCCGAAAAGATAAAAGAAACTCGCATGGATTATAACGCAATTTACACCGCAATAAACAAACGATTCCATAAATTCTTCGCGTGCCATTCGTTCGATAAACGAACGTTTAACGAACTGCCTAAGCAATAAAGCTTCGAAGTAATCATATCGTGAGCGAGTGAAAATAACCGCGCGTATTTCAATGTCAGAGTCGCGCATATATTATGTTTATAAGCCTAGATCCAAACTTGATCGATGCTCGCAAAATTCCCATATAATCAAGTGTGTCCAATAACGAATCGCATAACGTCAAGCAGTAGAGTATCCAACCTCCATTGACTAATTACGCAAGTAAAAGACTCACTACGGGCGATCTAGCGAAAAATAGTTTTCGCGAGTTAAACGAACGTGTCATTTTTGACTCGGTTCAGCGTTATAACCACGCCGCACGGATTTAACACGTCGACGGGCGTGCGCGCGAGTAGACTTGTCACGCGAGAGATCATGCATGAATCCTGTGTGTATACACCTCTTTTTTTACTCCTTCTTCTTCGGAGCAAACCAAACACCGTGTGCGAAGTATTAATAGAGGCACGACGACGAGTGCGCGGCTGCTGTCAAATAAACTTTTTGCCAACACACACACACATACACACCATTGCAGCCGAGTGTAATATCGCTGCTCAGCTGTGGGACATTATGTACGTCGGGATTATTACATAATTTTTCGCGCCACGATGACTAGAAGCTGCATGTACAGTATGCTGGTATGCAGTGGTGTTCATGTAGCACACATGCATTGTGCAAAAAGTCAAGAATTCCATCCATGACGACTGTATATTATATAGCATTCAGCATATAATGCACAACACATAGGCAGAAGTAACACAATTCATTTTTTCTCTCTCTCTCTCGCTGTTTTCGTTTTCGTCCGAGATTTATTTGATAAGTCGCGCATTGCGCTGCATATTACATGGTCTCGATACACATACACGGCGTATTATGCCTAGAGTATAGTACAAACACGAAAGAGAGTGCGAAGCAGCAAGTAGCGCATAATGCACGGATTATCGCGTAATTTGCCGCGCGCTCGCGATGCCTGCGACACCGTATATAATATATACGCAACGATATATATCTCGAGATCGTGTACGTATATACGGCGTGAAAAGCTTCCTCGTAATGGCGATATAATTGCTCCGTTCAATTTTTGCGCAAACGAAAGGATAGGGGAAAACAATAAATACACGAGTGCGCGCGTTGAATGAGATATATTGTGGCTCTATTCAGCCGCTTTGACGCACTCCATATGGCTTTGTTTATTACAAAAATGTCGGAGATTGAGGAGCGTGTGCGATTAATGGAAATGATGCGATTATCATCTTTGAGAAAGAAACTGTGTTTTTTTTTGAGATTTAGATATGAATTCTGACATGATTTACAAGAAAAATCCGAGCATCCACCAAATGAACTTACTAAGCCAGTTGCATAGAGAAACTATGACTTATACATAAGTATACAATACCCTATTTTTTTACATTGGGAATCGATTGTGACATCTAGCGGTTAAATCCGAAACTCGGCACCAATTTGCTCTTAAATACATTCTCAGATTGAACGCTGCGAGCTAATTTCATACACAAACTTAGAGATTCACGAGTCTCGCGCGTATACGGTTTGTTTTCAATATTTACATTTAATGGAAGTCCAAGTCTAACTCCCCTAAAGTAATTCAAATAATTCAAAACTAAGTGCGCCGTCACATTCAACACTATTTTATATCATCTCTCTCAATTCCGTAGAAAAACTTTAATATTTTAATGTTATCTGTATTTTTCATTAAAATAAATATATAAAATTTCACCCCCAGTAGGTGTCTCAATCGGAGTATATTACATTCGATAATGTAAATTCCCAAGCTAGAAACCATTTTTTACGCTCTCACCGTCAAAAAGCTCGTTTTTTTAAACCTAATAATGAGGTGTTCGGAAAATCCTTTTCATTTTTTTTGTTTATTTATTTGTTATCTTCGTAAGTATCTCCTTTGTGAATAAAAACAATCAATATTGATAATAAAACTACTTAATTTATCAGAAACTATATCTAGAATTCTCAAATTCAATGCTTAATTAATTACAAAACGATACAACATTTGGACCAAAAAAAATTCAAAAAATCTTATTTTAAATTCCTGTATAAGCAGAATTCATACGTTTTTCATTTTAATTCATTCTGTAAAGTTACTCATAAGCAGTTGCTGTGGAGAGCTTAAAGTGATGTAGCTATCAACTATAACATATGATAAAAAATTTACAAACATGTAAAAATCTAAAACTAATGCTTAAAATAATTCTGAGAAAGAAAAAATCCCCCGCTTGAGCGAGAATTTGTTTATTAATTAAATTTTTATAAAGTTGAAAAGGTAAAGAGAGAGACATTCATAAATACATGCATATGCACCGGATTAATTTCGACAATGTCAGAGATGCGGTAAATTATACGAATCGTATTTATACTTCGAGGCTATTGTTGTTCTTTCACTGCAAATGATTACTATCGAGGCGAGGATGCGTATACACACACAGAGGTTTATATGTATGCAACTCGCCGGCGCGCGACACAAGCACAAATGCACACACACTTACACACACAAAACATACATACACGTAATATTATAATGCGATTTCGAAAGTTATAATGGCTCGGAGCTCGAGGAGCGAGTATATGTATAGTAAAAGAGAGAGAGAGAGAGACTCTGCTTTTATGCAATGTATTTAGGGTATATTCTAGCGTTGTATGCTGCAGCCAATCGCCGAGCTTTGGAAATTTATTTGTCGAAAGCCAAATGGAGGTGTTCGTGCTTCACACATTTTGTAATGAATTGTTTCAAATTACTTCATCGAATCACGATTTTTGGCTCGTACGCGAGCTCACGTCCGCGCGCGTCGCTACGACGCGATTAACTTGTTCGCGCGCGCGCAATACCGATAAGATTGCTGCATGCAAATGAGTGCAGAACAAAAAAGATGAAAAATTGAGACTAGAGCGGTACGATATTCGCGCCTACGAGGCTGCACCACGACTTCATCAACTATTATTGTATGAAAGACGTTGTTGCCCGTCCATCTATAATAAGTATAGCCGCACAAAAGAGATCTCAAGATCTTAAAAGAGAGAGAGAGAGAGTCATTGCAAAAGTGTCGGTTATAGCTGCGGCGAAATTAGTCGCGCGCGCCGCAGCGTAGGGGAACGGCTACTTCGAGGCTCACAGTGTATACGAATGTGACACACATTAACGGTAAGAGCACTTAACGCGCGTACATAATGACAAGAAGAGCCACAGCCTTATGTTCGCATATCCAGCCTGCACTGCTGCATTTGTATGTGTGTTTGTGTGAGGCGAGTGTGTGTACAAATGCACTGCCTGGCCGCGTTGAGAGTAAAAGTGCAGTTAAGTCATGGATATTTAGCACACAATAATGCGCCTTTCTGCATTCTTTCTCCTGTACAAATTACGTAGTCAGAGCAGCGGCGGCGGCAACGGCGGCTCTTCTCTCTTTCCTTATCTGATTTTTTGGGGGCATTTATTTGTATGTCCGTGTGTGTCTGTGTGTCTGAGTTTTAGCGATTGCGTTATTATTATATACAAATAAACTGCGCCTCGCCGCGCGCGGTATATCGTCTGCATCGTGTACAATAGTGCAATAACACCACAACTTCGAGGAATATACTCGTCCCTAAAAAACTTGCTCAATTTTTTGGAGCCGCACCGAGGAATATCCATTATTATCGGCCCCTTTTATCAGATGCTGACAAATACTCGCGCGCACGAAAATTAATCTTTCGTACCGAACTCGCCGTTGTGCAATTCACAGTTTTGCATACCTGCGAAAAATCCAAGCCCATAAATGGATCGTACGTAACGCAAATGGATTAGCAATTGTCCGAGCAATACGAAACAATTTGCGCACACATGAGCACATACTTCGCACGTTTTGGTCACATAGGCATATATACTTTCACCCGAAAATTGATCAAAAAATTAGCGGTCTAATAATAAGACTCCGAGACGAGAGAATATAATGATTTTCCTAGTCGATTGTCGTAAAGTTTTACTCGCACCCGAGAAAAGCGCACATGCGCGCTCAACGATACGAGCCGTCAAGAAAATATGTTAACTTCTTTCGCTGGCGCAGTATAAACATAGGCCTGGCCCCACGTGTGTGTGTGTGTGTGTGTGTGTGTGTACAATGAACGATCGAGATGAATAATACTTTTCTTTCATTTTCGAAAAAAAAAGAAAGAGAAAAAATCATAAAGCACCGCATGCTCGAGCGCAAACTGACAATAGTGTTTGGTGCAGCATACGGGGAGAGATACGAACGATTTAATGTATCACATAGTGAAAATAGCGCACTCGTTTGGTTTTATTGCTGGCTCTACGTATGCGCGACGGCCTGCACATATACAGGCATTTTTAGCACGAATTGCGAGTCTCCTTATCGCTCGTGTTTCATGCGGCGCAGCAGCTTTCTCGATTATCATTACGTTATAACTGATTGCCATTACGGCTTTGACGAGCGCTCGAGAAAAATGTATGAGATAGTTTGTACGCAGCTACGTGCATTTCTCTAGGATATTCGGCTATTATTCTTTCCTGCCTTTTAACAATACGTGTTTACTGTTTCCTATTTTTTTTTTATATATTGTCGTGCGAAAAACGTGCGTCAAGATTCGCATCGATGATACTCGCGCGCGTGCTACGATAAGTGCGCGTTTAGCTCTTGATTGATGTTCGACGAAGCAAAAAAAAAAAAACGGAGCGAAGACTGAATAAAGGA